CTTGATTTATTGTAGAGATGAGGTCTCACCATGTTGCCCAGGCTGGTCTTGAACCTGTGGGCTTAGGCAGTCCTCTCACCTCAGCTTCCCAAAGTGCTGGGATTATAGGCGTGAGCCATTGTGCCCTGCCACAACTGATTTGTTTAAAAATAGACACATTTTTAAAGAAAAAAATAACTAATATGCTAATGTGACAGTGCATGTCACACATGTTAAAAGCTTGTAAGTTTTGATTTGCATTTTCAGTCCCTTTTGAAATATTTTCTAACAAATAATTCTGCAAACACTATTCTCCCTTAGCTATGAATCCAGTCTTCCCCAGACACAGCAGGTAGATCTTGACTTATCCAGGCCGCTTTTCACCACTGCTGCACTGCTTTCAGCATGCAAGTAAGTACTCCTTTTAACGTTCAGAAAAGTCCCAAATTTACAAGTAGGTTTTTGTATTCACAAAGAATACTGCTAATTTAGGTGATTTCAACTGAGCATATTTTCCCCTATAAATAACATTAGGGATGGTGGCCAAGTGACCATATGCACAGTTTATCCCATATGTAACTGACACTTGGAACTAGTGTTGCCCAAAGTCTGCATGCCAAGTGGCAGTTATATACATAACCTGGGTATTCTGATTTCAGGGTCTGCCTTTTATAATTGGCAAATCCTGTCATTAAAACTGTTCATGTATAGTTTTCTGCTCACGTTTTGTTTTTTTTTTTTTTTTTAAGTACTGGCTGCAACTGTTCTTTCAAGGAGTTTATAAAACATTTCAGTGATAAATTCTTACCTCTGAATCTTAAAATTATTGGTTATCTATGTGCATACTACAATGTTATCCTGGAAATATTAGTAATTTTTGATATCTTTGTCTAAGGCTGTCTTATTTTATCTGGAAAACTCCTTCGAAAACAAAATGTAGCTGGTCCTTAATACCTAGTAAATAATTTTGGTATATTTGACTCTGTTAGCTACATACCTAGGAGAGATTAGTTGACATTTGTAGAAAATATCTCTTTAATTCAAGTTATGTGTATATAAGGAGAGAGTATGGCTATTATTGTAGATAACAATAAGAGTCAACTCCACTTTTGAAACCATGTTGCACTGACTAAAGGAAGGTCTGAACAGTTCTGTTATCCGCAATTAAAACAATGTATTTTGTGTTTTTAATTAGTGGTTGCTATGAAATATTATTATGAGGGTATTGGGGAGTTTATTTTAGGGTAGAGAGGAGTTGTTACATACCCACAGTATTAATATAAGCATCTGTGAGTTAAAATGATTTGAATACTTAACAATTTTATTAATCGAGATTTACTTAAAAATGTTCTAAAAGGATTGTAGCACCACAGCAAATGTCTTTATGTGCCCCTTTTGTTATAAAACAAATCTCATGTGCATTTTAACTCTCTCAATCCAATAGACAAATAAAAAGCTTAAAAGGGGAAATCTGCATGGTTATAACTAATGACATGTTTGTAATAAAGGAAAAACTAGACATTTGGGGGCTCTTAATAAAGCATGGGCAAAAAAAGAAATAATATGGTTGACCAGAGAAGAAAACAACTTATGAAATTCATTGTAGGATTCTAAAGCTGAAAGTGGATAAAAAGAAAATGGTAGCTACATCTGGTGTAAAAAAAGCCATATTTGATCGACTATGTAAACAATTAGAGAAGATTGGACAGCAGGTTGACAGTGAGTATTCTGTAGTTCAAGAATGTGTCATTTGAAAATGTAAGCCAGGGCCATTACCTTGCTAAGCTATGGTATGACCATGTGCTGTTTGTTTTCTTAAGCTTTGGCCCCTTCCCCTACCTTGGTGAGGTGAATCTCATCTTTCTCTTTCTAATTTACTTTCTAAATAAACTATATTTTCTAATCTAGAAAAAAAGAAAAGAAACTGTAGACTTGCTGGTAAAAGTGTTTTCAAACTCACAAACTGCTTCCTAAATTATATGTTTTATGTGTGCCAGATAAGTTTTATTGGTTTTTTAGTTTGTTTTTTTTTTTTTAGTCAGATTCTTACTCTGTCACCCAGGCTAGAGTGCAATGGCATGCTCACGGCTACCGCAGCCTTAACCTGCTGGGTTCAGGCGATCCTTCCGCCTTAACCTTCCAAGTAGCTGGAATTACAGGCGTATGCTACCATGTCTGGCTAATTTTTGGATTTATTGTTGAAACACGTTCTTGCCATGTTGCCCTGGCTGGTCTTGAACCCTTGGGCTTACAGTCCTCCCGCCTCCACCTCCCAAAGTGCTGGAATTACAGGCGTGAGTTATCGGACCCAGCCAGTTTTTCTATTTTTCAACTAAAGTAGCTTAAGAGCTTTTTAAAAACCTATGATTTCACAAACCTATACTAGGAAAATAGATTTTCTGTTAATGTGTTCCAGTGTTGAATACCAACTTCCATAAACATAAGCTAGAATAAGAGTGATTCTTAAGTCTGATGTGACACCAAAGAAAAAAGAAGGGCAAGATCCTTTGCCTTCTCCTCAACGTCATATTTGCTTAGTCTCAAGATGTCTAATTTTTATTTGTGATCCAAAATATACCCAAATACTGAAATTGAGGAGAGAAATGAACCTTTTTTTCTTGAAGGAGAACCTGGAGATTTAGCTCCACCACCATGGAAGAAAAAGAAGATAGTGGTTGAATGCCCAGCAATGGGTAAGTTTTACTTACGCTGTATTAACATTGAAATTAGTGTAATATGATTCATGCAATTAACAGTCCTGTGCTACTTTAGTAGCTTACCTGACAAGAGCCTGTTTAAGTAAATCCTGACCATTAATCATTTGATAAGACCAGTTTTCCAAGCAATCAATTGCTTGGAATTGTGTAATTAAGAATATGCCTGAGGCCAGACTGCCTGCTTTACAACCATTAAAATAAAAAGCTTAGACAAATTAAACTTAACAGTTCATTTGAGCAAAGAGTGATTCATGAATTGGTCAGCGCTCAACCTGAAAGAGGTTCAGAGCAGCAAGCCAAGACCAAATTAGGACCAAAGTAGAGAAATCACCTGATTGGTTATTCAACTAGGGACCTCCCATCAGATCACGCTCAAGTAAGACAAACACATAGCTGTAGCCAATCAGCTAGTTGGCTGTTTGTAATTGGCTGACACTTGTTTTTGTCTTTTTTTCTCTTGGCTACAAAAATTGTTTCCAAGTTAAGTTCTGGTTTGCTTATGTAGGAATATGTCACAGTTTCAGCTACAGAGACAACCTTAGGCTAATGGCTTCCTTATTTAACACCACCTACCAAGCTGGGTGTAGATGCTTATGCCTGTAATCTCAGCACTTTGGGAGACTAATGCGAGAGGATTGCCTGAGCCCACAGGTTCGAGACCAGCCTGGGCAACATGGTGAGACCTCATCTCCACAATAAATAAAAAAATTAGCTGGGCGTGGTGGTGCATGCCTGTGTTTTCAGCTACTTGGAAGACTGAGGCAGAAAGATGACCTGAACCCAACAAGTTGAGGATGAAGTAACCCTGAGTGTGCCACTGCACTCTATCCTCAGCAACAGAGTGAGACTCCTACTCAAAAAAAAAAAAAAGAAAGAAAGCACCACCTACTGGCTACTAGCTGTGTGTTTTTAAGAAAGTCATAATTTCTGTGAACCTCAATTTCCTGATTTATAAAATGTGATTAATATTATCACCCATTATGGAGTATGGTAAGAGTTATTAGCAATAATACTATTTTAAGTGCTTGATACATGATAGTATTAATGTCTTAGAGTGTAAAGGAGAAAAACGTGATAACTAAGCCAGGAGTAGTGATGTGAGCCCATAGTCCCAGCTCCTCAGGAAGTTTGAGAGAAGTTTGGAGACCCTGTCTCTGAAAAAACAAACAAAAATGATAACTGCTGTTTCTAATTTCATTTCAGTATCTGATTACCTTCCTTAATTAGTTAAAGTAGACAATTTAAACAAGTTTATTTTTTTCTTATTTCTAAACATAAGAATTTTGAAATTGCTTTTGATAATTTTCTCTCAGAAATAGAGAAGGGAGTAGAGATCCCACATAAACCACAGGAAGATGAAGATGTGACACAGGATTATGAAGAATGGAAAAGACAAATTTTGGAAAATGCAGTCAATGCTCAAAAGACTACACCTGAATGATTTCAGCTTCCAGAATGATATGTGGTACAAACCTGTATAGTACATTGCTACCTTCAGGAAGGTTTGAGGGCTTTGAAATTTTGTTTGAACTTTTATAACAAGGATCTGCCTTAATAGCAAAGAAGCCAGCCCTGGAACTGAGTTCTGGGCAGTGGGCTGGCCCCTGATCAACCACAGTTGCCTGACTGGCAGAGCTTCTTGTGCTCTCCTGCAAAATGGAATTGGAGCCATTTGGCTTTGTTTTGTTTTAAGTGAGTGGGAGGCCTATCCAGAATATAGAATTCAGTCTGAATGGAGTCTTACAGATTTTACTTTTTGTAAGTTTTTTGGTTTGATTAAATCGCTATATTACACAGCCTAATTTAATAAATTTTTTTATAGGCATTCAAGTTGCTCTTGTTATCTGTTGAGGGGAATCCTTGTTAAATGAAAAACTGTGTCTACTCCACCAAGAACAAAGCCTTAAGTTCCTGTCCACTGAGCCACACTGCTCACCATAGCACAAACTCCACATAGGTTTCCTAGGCTTAAAACCCCGCTCAACTCTTTATCACCTGTGAAACCTTTAGCAAATTAATTAACTTTTATGCTTCATCTATAAAGTAGGTATAGAAGTGGTACTACCTCATAATATAATGTAGAAAAGAATCTGAGCCAATACATGTAAAGCATTCAGCACAGTACCTGCTTTGAGTAGCTAGTAAATATTAGAATACAGACAGAATTTCACATATGTAAGTGTCACATGATAAATTAAACATTAGCACCTTTTTATAAAATCAAGCTATATGTCAAGGTTATTTTCTTTGATATCTACATACTGAAAAAAACATAACCCTACTAAGTATGACTTATTTTAAGACTATGGAAAGGGACCTTTATGGAAGGTAAGAAGTTGCTAAGGGCATCAAGCCAGACATGATTTAACTAAAATTAATAATATATGATATAATTATCATATATTTTCCATGATGATGTGATTGCATCCAAATGTTTTTTAAAATCTAATCAGAGTCTGGGGCTGGGAAAACACCTCTTATCAACAGGGTGTCTGAATGAAACGTAATTGTACACCTAACCCTTAACTGTACCCCACAAAACTATAATAAAAATACTGATTAATTATTAAAAAAAAAAATCTAATCAGAATAACATCAATAATAACAGTGGCTGCCTTTTATCCGCTAAATACGTGCCACATTGACCTAGAGTGACTAACAGTGATCTCTCTCTTTTCTCCTTCCCTTTTTAAGTCTGGAAATTTAGCAGACTAAAGCTAAATAAATACCACAATCAAATGACCTCAACATAAGCATTATGTTGGCAAGGCTTGTGGTACTAGGGAATGAACAAGAGCTTTAGAAGCATGCACACTTTGATCTAAATTCTAGCTCTGGCCAGGCATCTCGCCTTCAATCCCAACACTTTGGGAGGCTGAGGCAGGAGGGTTAAAAGTCCAGGAGTTTGAAACCGGCCTGGGCAACATAGTGAGATCTTGTCTCTACAAAAAAATCAAAAAAATTATCTGGGCTTGGTGGCATGGGAGGCTAAAGAAGGAGTGATGAATACTTACTACTTAGTGAGACCATCTGTTTCAGTACTATCATTATTCTAAATACGCTTTGGAAGCTCACATCTTTAACAACTCTTCATGGTTTATTTGTTTGTTTGTTTGTTTGTTTTTGAGTTGGAGTCTCACTCTATTTCCCAGACTGGAGTGCAGTGGCCACTCTCGGCCACCACAGCCTCGACCTGCTGGGCTCTGGCGATCCTTCCACCTCAGCCTTCCAAGTAGCTGGAACTACAGGTGCGTGCTACCACACCCAGCTAATTTTTTGATTTATTGTAGAGATGAGGTCTCACCAAGTTGCCCAAGCAGATCTCGAACCCACAGGCTCAGGCTCAGACAATCCACTCACCTCAGCCTCCCAAGGCATGGGATACAGGCTGAGTCACTGAGCCTGGCTCTTCGTGGTTTATTTAAGTGAAAATTTTTTAAAATTATGAACATTTTCAAATATATACAGCGGTATAGAGGACAGTACAATAAAACCCATATACATTATCCAGACCCAAAAGTTAATAAGATTTTGCCACACTTGCTTAACTATGTCTTCTTTTTTCTTGAAGTCATTGAGCCTACATTAACCCCATTCCCATGATCACACCTAAAAAATTAATGTTAGTTAATTCTATTATCAAATGTGAAATTTATAATCAAAATCCCTGAGTGTCTCTAAAAATCTTTTTATTGTTTGTTCAAATCAGAGTTAAACAGTCTACACTTGACATTTGGTTTGCTAATTTTTAATCATAAAAGCAATACATACTCATTGTAATTAAAAACAAAAACAACAAGCCGGGCTCAGTGGCTCAGCCTGTAATCCCGTGCTTTGGGAGGCCAAGGTGCATGAATTTCCTGAGCCTGCGGGTTTGAGACCCGCCTGGGCAACTTGGCGAGACCTCATCTCTACAACAAATCAAAAAATTAGCCGGGCATGGTAGTGCACACCTGTAGTTCCAGCTACTTGGAAGGCTGAGGTGGAAGGATTGCCGGAGCCCAGCAGGGCGAGGTTGCGGTAGCCAGGAGCGGCCACTGCACTCCACTCTGGGTGACAGAGTGAGACTCCAACTCAAAAAAACCCCAACATTCTAACAGTTCAGAAAGACAGAAAGTGAAAAGTGGAATTTCCCCTCTCCCAGTCACCCATTTTTAAAGAAAAGATGACTTTTAGTACATCTGGGTCTATCTTTAACATTTTTGAAGTATTCCACTATATGGATGTAGCAACATTCATTTAACTAAACCCAAACTGATAGGCATGTGTCGGTTGTTTTCATTGAGCCATTGGGAACAGTGTTCTGGTAAATATCATTTTGCATAAATTTCTGTACACATATTGAAGTACAGAGAGATAAACTTCTAAAAATGGAATTGCTGGGTAAAATTGTGGGCATGACTTTTTTTTGCACGCATATCCATCAAAAGTGAGAGGATGTGCTGGGCGCATTGGGTCACGCCTATAATCCCAGCACTTTGGGAGGCCAAGGTGAGAGGATTGCCTGAGCCCACGGGTTCAAGACCAGCCTGGGCAACTCGGCGAGACCTCATCTCTACATAAAGCAAAAAATTAGCTGGGTGTGGTGGCACATGCCTGTAGTTCCAGCTACTTGGAAGGCTAAGGCGGAAGAATCACCTGAGCCCAGTAGGCCGAGGCTGCAGTTGGTGACCGTGAGCATGCCGCTGCACTCTAGCCTGGGTGATAGAGTGAGACTCTGACTGAAAAAAAAAAAAGCCATTTTCCACACCTCACCAGTTCTTCACCGGTCTAATAGGTGAAAAAAGTGGGCCCCAACTGCCTTTTAGAGCTTTTCTGCCCAACAGTTTCCAGTGACTGTTGGTTCATTCACATGGAAAGTCCACATTAGAAACAGTTGATACCAACATAGTTGCAATCTAAAAAATTTTTAGCTAAGTCCACACCAACAAAGTAAAGTACTAAAAATATCCAGAAAATTCAAGCTTCATAAAATCTCCCTCAAACTTCAGGTTCCCATTATCTCTTACTTGTATGAACCTAATCTAAACATATGCCTCAAAGGGACGTTGGAAAAGAATTGTTTCTCTAGGTAAAAAAATAACAGCATTAAAAAATTAATAAAAGTTTGTCAGACAAAGGATTCTCTTTAGATCTGCCCTGTCCAATATGGATGCTCTAAACACAGGTGGCTATTAGGCACTTAAAATGTGGCTAATGAAGGCTGGGCATAGTGGCTCACACCTATAATCCTGGCACTTTGGGAGTCTGAGGCAAAAGGATTGCCTGACCCCAGGGGTTTGATGCCAGCCTGGACAACACAGTGACACCTCATCTCTACAAAAAAAATCTGCCAGCCGGGCTCGGTGGCTCAGCCTGTAATCCCACGCCTTTGGGAGGCTGAGGTGAGTGGATTGCCTGAGCCCGCAGGTTCGAGACCCGCCTGGGCAGCGAGACCTCATCTCTACAATAAATCAAAAAATCAGCTGGGCATGGTAGCACATGCCTGTAATTCCGGCTACTTGGAAGGCTGAGGCGGAAGATCGCCGGAGCCCAGCACGTTGAGGCTGCGGTGGCCGGGAGCGGCCACTGTACTCCAGTCTGGGGTGACAGAGTGAGACTCCAACTCAAAAAAAAAAAAAATCTGCCAAGCCTGATGGTGCTCATCTGTAGTCTCTGCTACTTGGGAGGCTAGGGCAGAGGCACCACCTGAACCTGGGAGGTTGAGGCTGTAATGAGTTGTGATTATGCTACTGCACCCCAGCCTGAGCAACAGAGTGAGGCCCTGACTCAAAAAAAAAAAAAAAAAAAGGCTAATGCACCTGCAAAACTGAATTTCTAATTTTATTTTTTTGAGTTGGAGTCTCACTCTTGTCACCCATGCTGGAATACAGTGGCACGCTCAAGCCACTGCAGTCTCAACCTGTTGGACTCAGGCAATCCTTCAACCTCAACCTTCCAAGTAGCTGGAACTATAGATGCAAGCCACCATGCCTGGCTAGTTTTTGTGATTTATTGTATAGATGAGTTCTAACCAATTTGCCCAGGCTGGTCTTAAACCCCTGGACTCAGGCAATCCTCTAGCCTCGGCTTCCCAAAGTGCTGGGATTACAGGCTGAGGCACTGAGCCTGGCCTCTAATAATAATGTTAATAAATATAAAAGTGAATACTTCGTTCAATTATTGCAAAATTGTTAGGTATATTTCATACAACTTTAATACATAAGTATAACTTTCCCACAGTAAATTTCATATAATTTAAATATGAATTAAGTATGTTCGATGAAAACCTAGTATCTGAATCAACTTTTTAAAAATTATTTGTTTGTTTTTGAGTAGGAGTCTCGTTGCTGGGCTCAGGTGATCCTTCTGCCTTAGCCTTCCAAGTAAATGGAACTACAGGCATGCACAGCCACACCCAGCTAATTATTGATTTATTATAGAGACAAGGTCTCCCCCAGTTGCCCAGGTTGGTCTTGAACCCTGGGCTCAGGTAATCCTCTTGCCTCTGCCTCCCGAAGTGCTGGGATTGCAAGCGTGAGCCACCGTGCCTGGCCTAAATTATTAAAAATGTCAATGGATTTTTTTTTTTTTAGAGAAACGACTAGAAATTTTTAAATTATATGGCTTTTACTATATTTCTGTTGGGCGGTGGTGCTCTAGATCAGAGTAATTGACTGTACTTTTTTCTGGGAAGAAGATTCATAGCAAGAATCTTAAGTCCCAAAGAGAGTACGAACTACCATACTAGAGAGAACTACAAAATGTCCTCTCTAGCTCCTTCCGGAGTCTGCAAAAAACCTTTTTCAAGCTGGGCACTGTGGCACATGCCAATAATTCCAGCACTTTGGGAGGCCAAGGTAAGAGGACTGCTTGAACCCAGGAGTTTAACACCAGTCCAGCAATACCTTGTCTCTACAAAAAAAATCAAAAAATTAGCTGGGCATGGCACACACCTGTAGTCCTAGCTACTTGGGAGGCTGAGATGGAAGAATCGGCTGAACCCAGGATGTTGAGGTTGCAGTGAACCATGATTGTGCCACTGCACTCCAGCCTAGGTGACAGAGTAAGACTCCTAACTCAAAAAAAAAAAAAAAAATCATCTGTTTCAGAAAGAGTAAGCATTTTTAAATGTTTATAAGGATAAAACATTTTGTATTTAATGACTGCTACTGTCTCATCAAAGGGCGGTTTTCTGCATCCATCTCTTCTGATGTTCATTCATTAGCTGGTAACTGGGAGCAGCCCTAGGCTGGCAGGACTGAAAGTCTTACCTTCCTGGCAAGACTTAGTTTTCCAGAGGAAAGTTACTGCTTGAGAACTGCAGTAGCAGGATGACCTCTCCACCTTCTGCTTCCTTTTCTATACCCATGTCCTCTGCCTATCCCCCCAAAAAGCAAGCCTTTATTATGGGACAAAAATCTTGAAAGACAGTGAAACTGTTGCAAGGCTAGTTAAAAAGTAAAAGTCAGTAAACCAACTAAAACTGTTCGCCTGAGAAGGTAATAAGAATAGCACAAAAATCAGGTAGAAGCAAGGAAATTAAAAAGATTGTGTACTTTTAGCCAGGCTCGGTGACTAAGCCTGTAATCCGCACCTTTGGGAGGCTGAGGTGAGTAGATTGCGGGTTCGAGACCCGCCTGGGCAACTTGGTGAGACCTCATCTCTACAATAAATCAAAAATTAGCCAGGCATGGTAGCGTGCACCTGTAGTTCCGGCTGCTTGGAAAGCTGAGGCGGAAGGATCGCCGGAGCCCAGCAGGTCGAGGCTGCGGTGGTCGGGAGCAACCACTGCACTCCAGTCTGGGTGACAGAGTGAGACTCCAACTCAAAAAAAAAAAAAGATTGTGTACTTTTGAATAATAAAGTACTTCTTTTCATCATTTTATAAGTTGGTAAAGTGTCTAAACACACATGTGTAAGAGTTTGTAAATGTGTAGTAGCTCACCACATAACAGTGGTATTTCAGCAAAACAGATAACTTGACTATTCTGTAATCCATGTAGTAAAGTTTTTAATTGGACAGTTGCTGGGTACAGTGGCTCACACCTATAATCCCAGCACTTTGGGAAGCCGAGGTGGGAAAATCACTTGAGCCTAGGAGTTCAGGACCAACATAGGCAACATAGCGAGACCATATCTCTACAAAAAATAAAAAAATTAGCCAGACGTGGTGATAACCACCTGTAGTCTCAGCTACTCGGGAAGCTGAGGCAGAAGGATCATCTGAGCCCAGAAGATCAAGGCTAGCTGTGGTGAGCTTTGGCTGTGCCACTGCACTCCAGGTTGGGCAATAGAGTGAGACCTAACTAAAAAAAAAAAAAACAACTCTATATATATATATATATATATATATATATATATATATATATAGTTGTCCCTAGAACAGTGTGTGGGTTAGGGACGCCAACTACCTAACAGTTAAAAATCCAGATATAAATTTTAACTCCCCAAAGACATAACTAGCCTATTGTTAACTGAAAGCCTTGCCAACCACATAAGCAAATGGCACATATTATAGGCATCATATACTATATTCTTACAATAAAGTAAGCTAGGTAAAAATGTTAAAATTATAAGAAGTAAAAAAATATATTTGCTATTCATTAGGCGGAAGTAAATCATCATAAAGGTCTTCATCCTCAACATCTTCATGTTGAGTAGGCTGAGAAGGAAGAAGAGAAGTGGTTGGTCTTGCTGTCTCAGGAGTGGCAGAGGTCTAAGGAAATCCACGTGTAAGTGGACCTGTGCAGTTCAAACTCATGTTCAAGGGTCAATTGTATATGTATTAAGTGTTTTTTTTAAGGAATGACAACATCGAAAGCGGTATAGTCTTAATAAAGCAGCAGGAGCAGTTTTCCTTTATTGTCTCATGATGTATCATTTCTTTGTTTCTCAGAAAGCTGAACATCATTACTTTCCCATCTCTCATAAATTGCATATCAGTTTCCAGATTTAACAAGACCAGAAATTCATAAATTCATAACCAAGAAAGAGGAGTCAGGACAGGGCAGACTTAGGATATAGGATAGAGGTATATATACATTTAGAAAGGACATTCAAAATTATCATTGCTCTGATTTAGCTACATATTGAAATTTCAAGCAATGCTGTTGATTCTCAAAAGGGAATATAAGTTAAAACAAGTTTGAAGATCACTGTCCTAAATCCATGTTGCTTAACACGACTGGGATAGTACAATAAAAATGTCAGCTCATACTTGAGTAAGTCATAACTAGAAATTCTTTGTACTGTAGGAGATAATACTGAATAACATACCCCTGTGAAACAGTCTACTGAGTTCTTTGATAAGAACAAATTTCTAATTTATATTTGACAAATGCAAAGTAGGAGCTTTCCTATCTACCTAAAGTATGCCTACACTTAACCACCAAAAGTAGGCATACTTGGAAAGTAAACAGCATTTCAAACTTAGTGATCTTACAAGGCAGAAAAAAAAAGTTCTTAGGCTTTCTTTACAGCCACTATTCATCTATAAGCAAGGCAATAGACGTAACCTTTTTAACAAAATAAGTGGAATCAATAATAGTAAAAGGCCAGATTATTTAAAATCTTGAGTCATCGCTTCACCACTGGCCTCAATAACTTCTAGGCCCACTGGTACAGCAGAGTTGAAGGTTAGGGACAAGTTGGAAATTTCCGTAACCTGTTGGCAGCAGTCACCACGTAGAAATGTTTCTTCAGGCATGGAGAAAAGAAAAGACAAAGCATATATTAGACCAACCACTTTAAGAAGAAAAAGAATTTAGCCAGGCTCAGTGGCTCAGCCTGTAATCCCACGCCTTGGGAGGCTGAGGTGAGGGGATTGCCTGAGCCCGCAGGTTCAAGACCCGCCTGGGCAACTTGGCGAGACCTCATCTCTACAGTAAATCAAAAAATTAGCTGGGTGTGGTAGTGCGTGCCTGTAGTTCCAGCTACTTGGAAGGCTGAGGCAGAAGGATCACCGGAGCCCAGCAGGTCGAGGCTGCGGTGACCAGGAGCGGCCACCGCACTCCAGTCCGGGCAACAGAGTGAGACTCCAACTCAAAAAGAAAAAAAAAAAAGAAGAAAAAGAATTTAAGTCAGTCTAAACACTTGAGTTTGTTTAAAACCAATTAAAAGGGAAAACATGTCTGGAATAATTATAGCAGGACAGTCATAATTTTCAGGGGCATATGTGGAGTCAGTATCAAGTGAGAAAACATTATCCTGCCCTATCTACATGGAAAATCAAGCACTCTAGAACGGTGTTTTTCACATTGTGATTCACAACCCACTGGTGGCTCATGCAATCTAATTTGTGGATTGTGAAAAGCATTTTTTTCTGATGAAACCAAATAGCACAAAGTAGCACTGTGCTTCAACACTGTCACAAAATTTCATGACATTTTTGGTTTTTCGTATGTACATGTATATTTTTATATTGGCTCCCTATGTAAAGGGTTTTGTATTTGTTTTTTGGGCCGCAGTGATGATCTGAGTCAATATTGACATGCTAGAAAGTGACTTTCCTGGATCACACTGCTTTTTTATTTTTTGAGTCAGGGTCTCACTCTGTTGCCCAGGCTATCGTCCTGCCTCAGCACTCCAGAGTAGCTGGGACTATGGGTGTGCACCACCATGCCTAGCTAATTTTTTGATTAATGTAAAGACGAGATCTTGCTATGTTGCCTAGGCTGGTTTCAAGCTCCTGGGCTCAAGCAATCCTGCTGCCTTGGCCTCAGAAAGTGCTGCGATTACACTGCACCTAACCACACCACTTTAAAAATAGGTTTTATATTCAAAGTATCCAAGAGTTCTGTTGTAAGCAAAATTGCAAATTTTTAAAGCTTGCTAGGTGTTTCCCATCCCCCATTTCTGAAATGTGGAGGAATCAGCCCTCAAGCTATAAACAGTTCCTTCAAGAGACTCACTACAATTGCCTTTGAGGATATATGCTTAAAATTCATTCTTGTCCATTCAATGTCCATATAAACACACACCAAATGTATCTTATGCTAGTTATTTTTGGTTTGTGACTTTTTTTTTCCTTTTTAGAGACAAAGTCTCACTGTCACCCAGGCTGCTGTACAGTGGCATGATCACTGCAGCCTCAAGTACCTGGACTTAAGAGATCCTCCTGTTCTGCCTCCCAAGTAGCTGGGACTACAGGCGTGCCCCGCTACACCCAGCTAATTTTTTCTATTTTTTTGCAGAGACAGGGGTCTCACTATATTACCCAGGCTGGCCTTGGACTCCTGGTCTTAAGCAATCCTCCCATCTCAGCCTCCCAAGGATTACATTTGTGATTCACCGCACCCAGCTGGTCTCTGACATTTTAAAATAAAAAGATAACAGCTTTAGACATGAGAGAATTTTTCCCCTAAATATCTGTTTCGAATAAAATCGTAAGTAAAAACTTAGCTACAAATTCTTTCAAAGAACAGATTAAGAAGACAAATGCTACCTTTTCTAAAAGAAAAACAAAATACCTTCCATTTTCTCTGAGCCATGTATTTCTGCAGCAATATCTGGGACTTGAGACAAACTTTAGATCTTGAAGCTTTGGCAGGCAAATTATTCAGCCACTCGTGTTTCAGGCACTGTGTGGCACTCATTCTGCAGCTGTGAAATCAAAAGCAGTTGAACTTTTAGTTGGGGTTGCCTTTTCTAGTCCCCAGATCTGTTCAATTGGGTAGGAAGGCTGAGTCAGTGGAATAAGTTTATCATTTCAGCAGATTCAGCCATGTACCAAAAAGGGAGCTCCTCATATCCAAAATCCCCTCAAAAGTGCCAGAAAGTTGTCAGCAAAATGTTCCCTAATTTCTACAGAGAGAACATATTCCAGTGATTAATCACCACCTCCCTGTAGGAGCTAGAAGATCGAGGCAGGGCAACAGCAAGGTCGGCTGTTCTCAAGAAGCAAAAGAACAGGAGATCCGAAGGAAGCTCTTTTCTCCCTCCAGTGTACAAAGTTGGCTTGTTCATCTGAATTGGAAATTTTTTATCTTTCACATAACTTTCATAGAAAGACAACTGTGGAGGTCAGGGAAATATGAGCTGTCTTGAAAGCTCAGATTCTTGGGCCTTAACTCCTGGGTTATTAATACCTTTGGTTATTTTCAATTATTATTACTTTATGATTGAGTATCAGGAAACTCAAGGGCTCAACCCATGACTTTGCTATAGCCTAAGTAGACTTTCATCACTAGGAAACAAGGTATCCAGATCATTATTCTGGAGAATAACATCTGCATATCTCAACTCAACTTTTTTTTTTCTTGAGTTGGCATCTTACTTTGTCACCCAGGCTGGAGTGCAGTGGCACACTCACAGCCACCCCAGCGTCGACCTGCTGGGCTCAGGCAATCCTTCCACCTCAGCTTTCCAAGTAGCCAGAACTACAGGTGCGTGCTACCATGCCTGGCTAATTTTTTATTTACTGTAGAGACGAGGTCTCACCATGTTGCCTAGGCTGGTCTTGAACCCGTGAGCTCAGGCAATCCTCTTGCCTCGGCCTCCCAAAGTGCTGGGATTATATGCTTGAGCCACCACGCCCGGCCCAGGCTCAACTTTTTAAAAACATTTCAGCCTATTACAAGTGATAACATGAAGATGGGACCAATTTGTAAATATGATCCTTTCTAAAATGCTGTATTTTATGCTCCTAATTGTTTGCTTTGTAATTGGTTTCCTTTGTCCTTTTCCCTGCTCCCTTTATTGTTCCAAAGAAGTAGCACACTAAGAACACTGAACAGAATTAGTCCACTAGAAGGACGTTTAGCTTCAGCAGTCCTGCCTAGCACTCAGACCAGGGGCGCCATCAGAGTAGTTAGTGAATGACAATCAAGAGTACCTCTTCTCTTTGACTAGCAACCGGGAAAGGAAGTCCTTGGCCTCCTCTGACAGCCCTTCAAAGGTGTCAGCATCGAAATCCCAGCTACAGTTCACAATGAAGTTCATGGTCTCTGCATCTGTTTCCCCTAGAAACGGGGACAAGCCACTGAGCCTATAGAAGAGAGGAAGGACCGTCGACATGTGGAAGCCACATTTGCCAACATGCACTGATAGAATAGAGAAAAAACACACAGGTTTCAAGCATACCTACCCAGAACCAGGAGGGCTCACAAACAACAACCCTACTACTTCACCACCACAGGTCAGTGTGTTCATTAAGGGAAGAAAGCGGAAGGGTTAAAAATTTGGAGGCATTCATACAGAATAAGTCACCTATGATGCTCATCCCCTGATCCCTGAAATAAAGAGTACATTGGGCCCGACTCAATGTATCCAGTCATCAAGTACATATTGATTTAATTTAAAAATAACTTTCCATGTCTCTGATACAGCCAAGCTCACTGACGTACTACTCAGGACTCAGGCCAAAGGAAAATTGGCTTGATTAGGGGTTCCTGCTAAAGTAAAGGCAGAGAGGCTGGACTTGGGGGACTTCCCCAGCCTGGTGCAGCACACACATACAAAGTGTGGCACACCATGTAGCAGTTACACAGTAATGAGTAGACTAGGGCAAAACATAACTTTGTTGGGCCTTGGAGAGAGTAGCCAAGGGAAGTTCACAGCTGGAGAGAGAAGAAAGTAGAGGGCACAAATCCGGAAGTGAGGAGACCAGATGATGCAGCAGAATGCTCTGCCCTGTCCATCTCCTCTCCTCACCTTTTGGTGCACTGTAGCCCCATGTGTACCAAGGCACCTGCATTTGTCTGCTGGAGAACTTTCTCTGCAGCTAAAGCTTTACTCACGCAGAAGTACCAGGATATCAGTTCTGCTATTACCCCTACACAGGATCAGCTCACAAGCAATAATTAATAAGAGTTGGTGCATAGATACCCCAGCTCCCTCCTCCCTCAGATGAAATACCTTTGAGAAGGTGTTTCTCGATGGATTCCAGAGTTCCCTAGCAGAATGAAACCCCAGTTGCTCACAGTTAGTCCTTAATAGTTTTGATAATTTTCAGCTATTCCTTTGTTTTTTTAAGAGACAAGATCTTGCTCTGTCACCCAGGCTGGAGTACAGCGGTGTGATCATAGTTCACTGCAACCTCAAACTCCTGGACTCAAGCAATCCTTCTGCCTAAGCCTTCCATGTAGCCAGGACTACAGGTGCACACCACCAAGCCCGGTAATTTTTAAATTTTTTCCCTAGAGACAGGACTTCACTGTGTTGCCCAGGCTGGTCTTTGAACTCCTGGCCTCAGCCTCCCAAGGTGCTGGGATTACAGGCTTGAGGCACTGCACCTGGCCTAGTTATTACTTTTATGTCAAAAAACTCAATGGCTCAACCCCTGACTTTTCTGTGGTTTCTGAAACCTCAGGAGACCTTCATTACCAAGAAACAAGGTATATGGGTCTTTATTCTGGGAATAACAGTTGCATATCTCAACTTTTTTTCAATCTTAGCCTATTACAAATAATAACTTAGAAACAGGACCGATTTGTAAATTTGGCAACTGGCTTGTTAACATACCCTTCACGGGCTGCCTTTCCTTCCCCATCTCACTACCTTATTCCTCTATTGGAGTTTCCTGGGAACACCTCCCAAATAAACCACGGGCACTCAAATTTTTGCTGCTTCTAAGGGTACTAAAAGTAAGACAGATGGCCTCCCTCCCCCACTTCAGAGCCAGGCCTCTGAACACTCACAGCATGTAGGTGATGACTCCTACACTCCACATGTCCGTGGGAAACGAAACAAACTCATAGTTGACGACTTCTGGAGCCAGGAACTCAGGAGTGCCAAAGTTCACCTTCAGCTTTTCCCGAGGCTTGTACCTGGGGAGGAGGGGGTGCAGAGAGCATGGGAGTGAGACCAGGGGGAAGATAAGAATGCTGGGGTAATTCCTGGTGGGAGGTGGACAGTCCCCACCTTCCTGTCAGTCATGTGGCCTGGACCTCACACCCACACATGTGGTTTACTGGGGAATTTTCATTCTTCTGGGGCCCAGACTTCAGGCTTTGCTAAGTCAGTGGTCGAATCAGAAAACCCCAGTCCTACTCCTCCAGGCATTTACAGTCTTAAAAGGAGAGAAGATTCGTATATCTTATTTGTCATGCAGCCACAGAAAGGAGCACAAATAGGGTAGCAGCTGTTGTAGGGGGGCAGCTCTGTTAATGTGCACAGAGACCAGAGCAAAACATGACTGTCAGGCATCACAATGTGGTTCCACTTCACACCCAGTAGAATGGCCACAATATATACATATACATACATATACACACACACACACACACATATATAGATATATATAGATTTTTTTTTTTTTTGAACTGGAGTCACACTCTGTAACCCAGGCTGGAGTGCAGTGGCACACTCACGGCCACCGCAGCCTCAACCTGCTGGGTTCAGGTGATCCTTCCACCTCAGGCTTACAAGTAGCTGTAACTACAGGCATGCACCACCACACTCGGCTAATTTTTTATTTATTATAGAGATGAGGTCTCACCAAGTTGCCCAGGCTGGTCTTGAACCCATGAGCTCAGGCAATCCTTTCACCTCGGCCTCCCAAAGTGCTGGGATTATAGGCTTGAGCCACTGTGCCCAGCAGGCTACTCTATTTAAAAATGAAGGGAGTGAAGGGAGTAAAGGGAGGGAGGAAGGAGGGAAGGAAGGGAATAAATAGCAAGTGTTGATGGAGATGCGGAGAAATTAGAAAACTTGTGCACTGTTGGTGGGAATGTAAAATGGTGCAGCCACTGTGGGAAACAGTATGATGATTACTCAAAAAAAAACAAAACAAAAAACACCTACCAGGCCAGGCACAGTGGTTCAAGTCTGTAATCTCAGCACTTTGGGAGGCAGACTCCAGGGGTTCAAGACTAGCCTGGGCAACTTGGTGAGACCTCGTCTCTACAATAAATCAAAAAATTAGCTGGGCATGGTGGCGTGCACCTGTAGTTCCAGCTACTTGGAAGGCTGAGGCAGAAGGATCACCTGAGCCCAGCAGGTCGAGGCTGCGATGGCTGTAAGAATGCCACTGCACTCCAGCCTGGGCAACAGAGTGAGACTCTGACTCAAAAAAAAAAGCAACTACCATATGATTCAGCAATTTCTCTTCTGGGTATATATCCAAAAGAATTGGATGGGCATTTGTACACCCATGTTCATAACAGCATTATTCACAATAGCCAAAAGGAGAAAGCCACTCAAATGCCTGCTGACAGAAGAATGCATAAACAAATTGTGGTACAATGGAATATTAGTCAGTCTTAAAAAGGAAGAAAATTCTAACACATGCTACAACATAGATGAACCTCAAAGACATCATGCTAAGTGAAATATGACAGTCACAAAAAATACTGTATAATTCCACTGATGAGGTCGAGTGGTCAAATTTATAGAAACAGAAAGAAAGGTGGTTTCCAGGGACTAGGGGCAGGGGAAAAATGGAGAATTATTACTTAACAGGTAGAGTTTCAGTTGGGTTTTTTTTGTTTTTGAGTCGGAGTCTCACTCTGTCACCCAGACTGGAGTGCGATGGCCGCTCCCGGCCACCGCAGCCTCGACCTGCTGGGCTCCGGCGATCCTTCCGCCTGAGCCTTCCAAGTAGCTGAAACTATAGGCGCGCGCTACCACACCCGGCTGATTTTTAAATTTATTGTAGAGATGAGGTCTCGTCAAGTTGTCCAGGCGGGTCTCGAACCCGCGGGCTCCCAAAGTGCTGGGATTATAGGCTGAGCCACCGAGCCCGGCCCTCTAACTGAAATTTTAATCCTTTGGCCAGTGTCTCCCCATAGCCACCCGCCCCAACCTTGGTAACCACCATCAACTCTCTGCCTCTATGAGTTTCTATTATTTAGATTCCATATGTAAGTGAGATCATGCAGTATTCGTCTTCTGCATCTGCCTAGTTTCACTCAACATAATATCCATCAGGTTCATCCATGTTGATGCAAATAACATGATTTCCTTCTTTTTAAAGGTTAATTAGTATTCAACTGTGTATATATACCACACTTTCTTTATTCATTTATCCATTGATGAGTACTAGGTGATAAACTTTGTTATGCGTTTTTTACCAAATTCCACAAAAAAAGAATTGGAAACAGTTCTGTACATAAGGTTTAAGCAAGGCTAGGAAGACAGTCAATGGCTGAGTGGGAAAGGGAATGGCACACGGTGTTTTTTAGAATCATTCTTGAAGAAGAAGAAACTCTCTAGCTAAGATTTAATGGGCACTTCCTATTTGCTAGGCACTAGCCAAAAGTTGTACATACATACTTTCTCTTTTTTCATCCTAGAATAGCCTTATGAAATAGGTAACATTATTGTCCCCATCTTATAGATGAGGCCATTGAGAACAAAAGTAATAAAATGACTACTCTGCCAATATGCCCTGCTTCCAGAGCAATAGCTCATCATCCAGATTTGCTGAGAGCCAAAGAAGCAAGTCCTCCTCCCCTGCACTGGCAACTCACCCACGATCGGGGCGAAGGAGCCTGAGAGGGCAACCTTTCCCTCAGGGAGAGAGGTTCATCCTCTCCAGCCCTGGATGTTGCCTTCCTGGGTTGCAATATCACTCCCAAGGCCTCATCATGGCGATATTTATGTCCTATGTCAGATGGCTTTTTAGTTCCTTTTGCTAGAGGCAGAATATATCGTTCCACACCTTGATGCTAGGCTTGGCCATGAGTTGCTTTGGCCAATGAAATGTGGTCAGAAATGACAGTGGGCCACTCCAAATTGGTCATAAGAGCTTGCCCTCCTAACTTCTCTGTCATCACCATGAGAAGAGAATGAAAGTCACACAGTGCAAACCTGTCCTCACCAGCCTGCATGCTGCCTGCATCCAAACCCAACTGAGCACAGCCTGGATCAGTGACTCTCAATCAGGGGTGGGGGCAAATGATGTCTAACAATTAGCTATTTGGTAAAAAAAAAAACAAAAAAACAAAAAAACACTGATTGTAGCATTTGCAGTTTCTGTAATATACATACCAATTTTACCATGGCCAGTTTTGAGGTACTATCATGACATCACTGAATGAAGACTTAGGAAGAGCCACACAGTAGCACTGATGTGATAGCCAGAAACAACTTCATGAGCTTAGATTATAGTAAAAAGTAGTAATTAAGAAGTGATGAGTTTGGGCGGGGTACAGTGGTTCACGCCTATAGTCTCAGCACTTTGGGAGGTGGAGGTGAGAGGACTGCCTTAGTCCACAGGTTCAAGACCAAGCTGGGCAATATGGCGAGACCTTGTCTCTACGATAAATACAAAAATCAGCCAGGTGTGGTGGTACACGCCTGTAGTTCCAGCTATTTGGAAGGTTGAAGCGGAAGGATCACCTGAACCCAGCAGGTCGGGGCTGTGGTGGCTGTAAGCATGCCGCTGCACTCCAGTCTGGGTGACAGAGTGAGACTCTGAATTTTAAAAAAAGTGATGAGTTTGAATATTAGTATCTTTTTAGATTTAATTATAGGTTTATACAATTTAATATTTAACAATGGTTGCATTTAAGACTGGGTTACAGAATTTTTTATCACAGGCTACTACAATAAAGTACCAGTTGAGTTAGGGCCAGCCTACTACTCCCCCAGCTAGCTCACCAATGTGTGGATAATAATAAATTATTGTTGTTTGAAGCCTCTGAGTTGTGAGGTGGTTTGTTATATAGCAGTACTGTGGCAACAGCTAACTGATACATTCACTCCAAAGCTATTAAAATACTCATCAAGACCCTCTCTCTCCAGATTCCTAGCACAAGTTCATCTGTGACCACAGAGTCACATAGGAGGTCACAGCCTCATAGGGGTAGGGTAGGTAGTCCCTTTCCCTGCCAAAGGACTTGATGAAATAGAATTTTTGTGTGTGTTCTAATTCCAGTCTAAGCATTGGACTGGAGTCAAGAGAATCCCAAAATGCTGGAGACTCAGCTTACACAAGCTAATGTTCATTCTGTTTCCAGCCTTAATTAATCCTTGACAAGTCACTACTTAGATTCACTGAAGGCTCTTGCAGCTTGACCTGGGATGACCCTGGTCCCTCTAAGGGGATGTCACGGCCTCTGAAGATTTGTATGTACTCCCAGCTCAACCAGGAGCCATGACCCCACTGAAGATCTTGGCACCTTCTAATAGCCCCAGTCAGAAATGTAATTCTATTTTCTCTAGTTTGTATTAGGGGAAAAGTTGGGATTTTCTTCCCTCTTTACAAACACTTAGTTATTCTGCAGTATATAATACTTTCTCAGCCTGCACACTGCCCCCAGAGGCCCTTCCTCTTAGAAGGACACACTGCACAGGAACCAGGCCAGGCTGGCATGTCAATTTGCCAAACAATAATTTTACTGAATAACCCGTTTTTTCAAAGATTGAGGATGGTTTTGACCTTTTCTGTCCATCTCACAGCCAGAAGCTGTGTTCCTGCAGCCCCACTCCCCTGAGTGCAGTTTCCTGAGTCACCACGTGTTTCAGAAACCTGCATATCACCAACATCCAGCAGTTTTACTTGGTGGCTTATTCTTCAAATGTGGCCATCTCTGTTTATTTTCTTGAAATTGCTCTCTACCTCTGGCTCCACCAACAAAATTATTGTCATCAGTGCCCTTGACTTAGTTATGGAATTTGACAGTTTGAAATGGATTAGTTACTCAACAGAAAGGCTTTTGGTAACTAATTAACTGATAGCCCTTTCATCTCCCACCAGGTAAGACTCAATGGCCTGCAGGATAACGTTCAACTCATGAACCTGACATTCAGAACTCCCTAGTACTGCCTCGTCTTCTGCTGTATCTTCCCCCAAATACCTGTTCATACACAGGGCATGACCTGTTCTCAGCCCCATAGCTCACACAAACTCCCCTGCCTCCTTCCAGGCAGTGCTGTGCTCTCATGAGCGCATGAGAGTCCTCTGCATGCACCTCTCCTCTCAACTCTACATTCAGTGATGTCATCTTGGTGGATTGAAATTAGTAAAAATTGGCAATGATTACAAATCAACCCCATCCCTTCTCAGTCCCCGCCTCCCTCAAGTTGGCGCTTAAAACACATGCTGGCATACCATTGCCCAGAGATGATAAATCCTGCCCATCCATCCTTTCTGGCTACTCAGAGGAGACTTCCCTGACTCCAGGAACTCCCAGAGGTTGCTTCGTCCACTGAATTCAGTGTGTCACAGTCAATACGCACTTGAAAATGGGTCATCTGACATTTGGGAGTGGACTACATACACTAGTGTGTGCATTCTCAGTGGTGATATTGCCACATGGGGCAAAAATTGGTTTTGAGAAGACCAAAAACATCTAAACTATTACCATGCTTTGTGGCTCTCCAGAGAGCCATAATACATATACAGATCACTAATGGGGTTAAATTTAATTGGGGGGGGCAGGCGATTAGGGGAACAAAGTCTAAAAAGACTCATTGGGGCACAGGCAGCAATGATAAAAAATAGCTTGAGAAATACTGTTCTAGCATAAAAGACTTGCAAGTATGTATGATGTATCCCAATTCCAAAAGACGTTATTTAGGAAAATATTAAGCAATTGTTCACACTGTGGATTGAATGTGATTTTTAGGTATTTGGGTTGGGGAATTTTATACTGTTCATCAAATAGAATACATGGTGTCATGGAGATCCTGAAGGTACATGGGAGGATGAGCTGAACTTCCTCCTGCTATTACACTAGCAGCTTGTGGCACTGGAAATACATTCTCACCCCTGCAAGTAGGTGATCTTCACCACTCAGCCAGTGGAGGGGTGACCCAGGAAGTCTACCACCATGGGGTGGATGCCAAACAGGAGGCAGGGACCAGAAAGCTCAGACGCACGGCTCTGCCTCCATGGACAGGGCTCTGCTTCCTGACCCTTGAGGATGGAAAAAGGACACTGTATGGTTTATCAAGTAACAAAACCACCAGTGGGGGAAAGAAAAACCTTCAAAAGAATTGAAAATTCAACTGTGGTGTAAAGACCTACCCAGAAAATATGATTTCCAGAGAAACATCATTCCTGGAAGAAACAATTCTGGAGGAAGCCTGGAGGAGGCCACCCAACTGTTGCCATATTTATGGAGCATGGATGCCGGAAGGCTTGTGGGGCAGCCTTCCTATATGCCAAGTGTCTACCACTGTTAAGAACCCACAGTACTGAGTATGCATTCAATGGGCAAGAGCCCTAAGTGAAATAGCACTCAGCATACATATGACTGGCAAGGATTGTGGCGTAAACCATCTATATTCACTATGCTTTAAGCATTTAAGAGACTTTAAGATAGTTTAAAAAAAAATTTTTTTTTTTTTTTTTGAGTTGGAGTCTCACTCTGTCGCCCAGACTGAAGTGCAATGGCTGCTCCCGGCCACCGCAGCCTCGACCTGCTGGGCTCCGGTGATCCTTCCGCCTCAGCCTTCGAAGTAGCTGGAACTACAGGCAAGCGCTACCACACCCGGCTAATTTTTTTTTTATTGTAGAGATGAGGTCTCGCCATTTGCCCAGGCGGGTCTCGAACCCGCGGGCTCAGGCAATCCACTCACCTCGGCCTCCCAAAGTGCTGGGATTACAGGCTGAGCCACCGAGCCCAGCCTAGTTTAAAAATTATACACAGTGTTTACTTTATGCACTGAAACTTGAGAACCTAACCATCCTGATTAGGATGGGTCCACAAATCTCATTTAACTTCAAATTATCTCATTTAACCTCATAACTGCTCCCATGTCAGCAGGTAATATCATTTTATCACCATTTTACCAAGCACCCAGTCCTAAATGGTACCCATGGTACCACCCTCCACTGTTGCACACATGCTTTTGTATTTGATCTAGTCATTTCCTGGAGGGCAGGGATGCATCACACAGCCCAGCACATCCGGGTCCTAGGAGGCCTGGGGAATCAATAGAATTCCTCTGCCTGGCACCCATTCAGCAGGTCCCTTTCACCATCACTCCCCTCTCTGCTCAGACAGGTTTGAAGAAGAGTTGATCCCACAGTCTTTTTTTTTTGAGTTGGAGTCTCACTCTGCTGCCCAGACTGGAGTGCAGTGGCTGCTCCCAGCCACCACAGCCTCGACCTGCTGGGCTCCGGCGATCCTTCTGCCTCAGCCTTCCGAGTAGCCGGAATTACAGGCATGTGCTACCACGCCCGGCTGATTTTTTGATTTATTGTAGAGATGAGGTCTCGCTGCCCAGGCGGGTCCCGAACCCGCGGGCTCAGGCAATCCACTCACCTCCCAAAGGCACGGGATTTCAGGCTGATCCCACAGCCTTTTAAAGAGAAGCAGAGCCCACAGCACAAAGCCACCCCTGCTTGTAGTAAAAGACCTATCTGTATGTCGAAAGCTACCCGTCTGGGAGTACAAGAGCTTTCTTGTGTCAGTCCCAAAACTCCAGAACTGCCACCAGGAGTAGCCATGTTGGGAGAGCCAGGGTCCCCGAAGAGTTCTGTCAAAGTATCAAAATAAAACCCTCTTACCTTCTGGCCAGCCCAAAGTCAATGATCTTAATTTGGTGTCCTGTTTGATTGACGCACAATATGTTCTCCGGCTAGGAAAGAAACAGAAGTCTGCTTAGCCCAGTTAACAGCCAAGGAGGCCTGCAGGTCTCAGCTTATTTGTCTACAGGCCTCAGTTTCCCAACATCTAAGAGAAACAAATGGCTCAAGGCAGCCCTACAAGGGTTAGCGAGATAATACAAATAAATCAAGTGGGGCTGAAGGGACAAAAAGGACTGACGTGGACTGTGGGGGACTGGAGGACCCCTGCCCTGTATGAAAGAGCAGCTCCAGACACTGGTTACCACACAGGAACAGGAGCAACTGTCCGAGGTTCTCAGTCCTTAAGAGGAGCCGCAAGTTCAGGTTTTTATGTGAAAATTCCATGGTGAGTTTTTTGGATTTTGTTTTGTTTTGTTTTGTTTTTTGAGTTGGAGTCTCACTCTGTTGCCCAGCCTGGAGTGCAGTGGCATGCTCACAGCCACCACAGCCTCAACCTGCTGGGCTCAGTCTTCCAAGTAGCTGGAACCACAGGCATGTGCCACCACACCTGGCTAATTTTTTATTTATTGTAGAGACGAGGTCTCACCATGTTGCCCAGGCTAATCTTGAACCCCTGGGCTCAGGCAATCCTCTCGCCTCCCAAAGTGCTGGGATTATAGGCATGAGCGACCATGCCAGGCCAAAAATTCCACGTTTTTAAATGTTCACAACTCAGTCAAGGGTAAACATACCTTCATCATGTGTGGGAGCCAAACAGAGCCCACACACTGCTTATGTGAGACCACCCCCAATCCTGGCTTCACACCTGGAATCGTGGGGGAGTCCCAGTGCCTAGGCCCCAACCGTGACTGATGACATCAGACTCTCCAGGCTGAGACCAAGCATCACTGATCTGGGCAAGAAGAGCAGAACTGCCTAATGTCCACCTGCCATTTCGTGACAACAGCTGTGATCCATGGGATGAGGTGGTGGCCTGGATAAGCGTTTCCTCTTATATCATTCAAATCAGTGCTGAGGTGCTGAGGGAGCCTGGAACATGCTCATTGCTTGCACATGGCAGATGAAGTGTTTGTGTGTGAGGGGCTGGGGAAGAAAGGTCGATGTAGGGCCTATGACAGACAGGACCTGGAGACCTAGGTCCAGGGACTGAGACCCAGGGGTCCGTTACTAGTTCTGAACACTAGATGAGTCCTTCCCATTCTGAAACTTCAGTGTTTCATCTGTAAAATGGGAATAATAACCTCTTCCTGCCTGTTTCCCCAGGGAGGATAAGAAGATCACATGACATAATATACATGAAACTCTTTACAACTTCCAAAGCAAATGTCAGCTACTGATTTTCCTAACAGAAGGTTTCATTGTTATTTATATTACAATGGAGTTATACAACTCCTCAGATAGGTACAGGAAAATGGTGTTTAAAAATCTCAATGTCTTCTTTATAAGATCTAGAACAACACTGTCCAATGTGAACCACATGAATAGTAATTTACAGTTTTCTAGTAGTCACATTTATTTTTATTTCTTTATTTTTTAGACAGAGCCTTACTCTTCCACCCAGGCTGGAGGCAGTGGCACAATCATGGCACACTGCAGCCTTAACCTGCTGGGCTCAGGCGATCCTTCCACCTCAGCCTTCCAAGTAGCTGGGACTGCAGGCATGCACCACCATACTCTACTAATTTTTTGATTTATTGTAGAGATAAGATCTCGCTATAAACCCAGGCTGGTCTTGAAGTCCTGAGCTCAAACAATCCTCCCACCTCGGCCTCTCAAAGTGCTAGGATTACAGGTATGAGCCATGGAGCCCAGCACATTTCTTTTTTTTTTTTTTTTGCCTTTTCTTTTTTTTACAGATGGAGTCTCGCTATGTTACCCAGACTAGTCTCAAACTCCTGGCCTCAAGCGATCTTGCCTAAGCCTCCTGAAGTGCTGGAATTACAGACTTACAGGCATGAGCCACTACACCCAGCCTTCTAGTAGCCACATTCAAAAAGGTAAAAAAACCAGGCTGGGTGGTTCAGCCTATAATCCCGTGCCTTTGGGAGGCTGAGGTAAGTGGATTGCCTGAGCCCACGGGTTCGAGACTCGCCTGGGCAGCGAGACCTCATCTCTACAATAAATCAAAAAATCAGCCGGGCGTGGTAGCACATGCCTGTAATTCTGGCTACTTGGAAGGCTGAGGCGGAAGGATCGCCGGAGCCCAGCAGGTCTAGGCTGCGGTGGCTGGGAGTGGCCACTGCACTCCAGTCTGGGTGACAGAGTGAGACTCCAACTCAAAAAAAACAAAAACAAAACACCTGAAAAAAATCCAGCTATAATTTTGACAAGGATTATATTGAATCTGTTTATCAATTGACACCTTAACAATATTAAATCTTCCAATCTATGACCATGGGAAATCTTATTTATGTATTCTTTAAATAATTTCCTGCTGGGCTCGGTGGCTCAGCCTGTAATCCCACGCCTTTGGGAGGCTGAGGTGAGTGGATTGCCTGAGACTGCAGGTTCAAGACCCGCCTGGGCAACTTGGCGAGACCTCATCTCTACAATAAATCAAAAATTAGCTGGGTGTGGTAGCGTGTGCCTGTAGTTCCAGCTACTTGAAAAGCTGAGGTGGAAGGATCGCTGGAGCTCAGCAGGTCGAGGCTGCGGTGGCCGGGAGCGGCCACTGTACTCTAGTCTGGGTGACAGAGTGAGACTCCAACTCAAAAAAATAAATAAATAATTTCCTCGTTGTTTTGTAGTTTTCATAGTATAATTTCCTCATTATTTTTGTAGTTTTCGGAGTATAAGTCTTACACTTGTTTTGTTAATTTTTTTCTCTTAGTAGTTTTTTTTTTTTTTGAATCGGGGTCTCACTCTGTCACCCAGGCGGAGTGCACAGTAGCACAATCATGGCTCACTGCAAGGCTCAACCCCCTGGGCTCAGGTGATCCTCCCACCTCAGCATCTTGAGTAGCTGGGACTACAAGCACACCTACATGCCCAGCTAACTTTCTAAAAAGTATTTTGAGCCGGGCTCAGTGGCTCAGCCTGTAATCCCGCACCTTTGGGAGGCTGAGGTGAATGGATTGCCTGAGCCCGCGGGTTCGAGACCCGCCTGGGCAGCGAGACCTCATCTCTACAATAAATAAAAAAATCAGCCGGGCGTGGCAGCACATGCCTGTAATTCCGGCTACTCGGAAGGCTGAGGCGGAAGGATTGCCGGAGCCCAGCAGGTCGAGGCTGCAGTGGCCGGAAATAGCCACTGCACTCCAGTCTGGGTGACAGAGTGAGACTCCAACTCAAAAAAAAAAAAAAAAAGTATTTTGTACAGGCAAGGTCTTGCTGTGTTGTCCAGGCTGGTCTCAAACTCCTAGGCTCAAGCTATTGCCAACCTTGGCCTCCCAAAGTGCTAGGAGTACAGACATGAGCCATTGTGCTTGGCCCTAAGTATTTTATTATTTTGATACTGTCACAAATGGAATTGTTTTCTTAATCTTATTTATATATTATTTAGTGATAGTATACAGAAATACAATTGATTTTTGTATATGCAACCTTGCTAAATTTGCTTATTCATTCTAGTGGTTTCTTTTCCTTATGATTTTTTATATACAAGATCATGTCATCTGTGAATAGACAGTTTTACTTCTTCCTTTACAATCTGGATGCCTTTTATTTATTTTTTGCTAATTGTCCTAGTTTGAACCTCCAGTAAAATGTTTAATAGAAATGGCAAGAGTAAACATCCTTGTCTTGTTCCTGATCTTAAGGAGAAAGCGTTCAGTCTCCTACCATTAAATATAATGTTAGCTGTGAGTTTTTCATAGAAGGCCTTTATCAGGTTGAAGAAGTTCTCTTCAATACCTAGTTTGCTTATTGTTTCCACCATGAAAAGCTGTTGGGTTTTGTCAAGATTTTTTCCTCATCTATTGAAATAATCATATACTTCATTCTTTATTCTATTATTATGGCATAATACATTGATTTTTGTATATTAAATCAACTTTGTATTCTTGGGATAAATCCCACTTTGCCATGAATATAATTCTTTGCTAATATTTTTTTTTTTTTTTTGAGTTGGAGTCTCACTCTGTCGCCCAGACTGGAGTGCAGTGGCCGCTCCCGGCCACCGCAGCCTCGCCTGCTGGGCTCCGGCGATCCTTCCGCCTTAGCCTTCCGAGTAGCCGGAATTACAGGCATGCGCTACCACGCCCGACTGATTTTTTGATTTATTATAGAGATGAGGTCTCGCTGCCCAGGCGGGTCTCGAACCCGCGGGCTCAGGCAATCCACTCACCTCAGCCTCCCAAAGGCGCAGGATTACAGTCTGAGCCACCGAACCCGGCTCTTTGCTAATATTTTATTGAGCATGTTTGCATCTATTTTCATAAGGGATATTGGTCTGTAGTTTTCTTGGGATGTCTTTGTCTGGTTTCGTTACAGAATAAGATTGACTTCATAAAATAAGTAAAGGAGTGTTTTCTATTTCTTCTATTTTTTGAAGAGATTTGTGGAAAATTGGTGTTAATTCTCCTTTAAACATTTGGTATAATTTACCAGTGAAGCCATGGGGCCTGGGCCTTTCTTTGTGGGTAGCATTTTACTACTAATTCAATCTATTTAATTGTTATACGTTATTCAGATTTTTTATTTCTTCTTGAGTTAGTTTCAGTATTTTATGGCTTCCTAGGAATTTTTCCATTTCATCTAGGTTATCTAATTTGATGGCATATAATTTTTAATATTATTTCTTTGTAATTCTTTTTTATTTCTGTAAGAACGGTAGTGATGTTCCCTCTTTCATTCCCAATTTTAGTGACTTGAGTCTTCTCTTTTTTTCTCTTAGTCAGTGTAGCTAAAGATTTGCCTGATTAAAAATTAAAAAATTAATTTTAAAATTAAAAAATTAAAATTAAAAATTTACTTTTAAAGAGCCAATTTTTAGTTTCATTGATTTTCTCTGTTGTTTTTCTATTTATTTCATTTATTTATGCTCTGATTTTTATTTCCTTCATTCTGCTTGCTTTGAGTTTAACGTTATCTTCTTTCTAGTTTCTTTTCTTTTTTTTTTTTTTTGGAGTCTCACTCTGTCACCCAGACTGGAGTGCAGGGCATGCTCCTGGCCACCGCAGCCTCAACTTGCTGGGTTCTGATAATCCTTCTGCCTCAGCCTTCCAAGTAGCTGGAACTACAGGCACGCGCTATCACGCCCAGCTAATTTTTTGATTTATTATAGAGATGAGGTCTCGCCAAGTTGCCCAGGTGAGTCTCAAACCCAAGGGCTCAGGCAATCCACTCACCTCAGCCTCCCAAAGCACGGGATTACAGCCTGAGCCACCGAGCCCAGCTTCTTTCTAGTTTCTTAAAATGGAAGGTTCGATTATTGATTTGAGTTCTTTCTTCTTTTCTTTTCTTTTTTTTTTTTTTTTTGGAGTTGGAGTCTCACTCTGTCACCCAGACTGGAGTGCAGTGGCTGCTCCTGGCCACCACAGCCTCGACCTGCTGGGCTCCAGCGATCCTTCCGCCTCAGCCTTCCGAGTAGCCGGAATTACAGGCATGCACTACCACGCCCGGCTGATTTTTTGATTTATGGTAGAGATGAGGTCTTGCCAAGTTGCCCAGGCGGGTCTCGAACCCGCGGGCTCAGGCAATCCACTCACCTCAGCGTATTCTTCCTTATTTTAAAACTGATGAGCTCAAGGAACCCAAAGTCACCAGGAAGGGGGTGAACTAGCACAGTCCCTTACCTTGGCTGGGAAATGGGCCTCAACAATGATCATATCTCTGCTGCAGTCACAGCAGTTGCCCCTAGTAGTGGTCTTGGACTCAGGCATCACTGAGTGGATTCCTGAGCTTTCTTCAACACCTGCTCCACAAAATAGCTGGTCCATAAGCCTTGGAGTTACATTTAGTGAGCAGCAGAACCTGAGGCCAATTCCCCACCATCTCCACCATTTTTCCGAGTACCTCAACCTTACCATCTGATGTCAATCAAGAAAGATGGCCAGAAGGAGCAATGTGCACCCTCACAGGTGCAGACAACCCACTTCCCATCTTCTGCAGGGAGCCTTTAAAATTCATCCTCTTCCTGAAGTGAGTTGTAAAGCAACACCCTCCTGTTGGCCCACTGGAGTGGAAGGTCACAGAAGGGGCCACCATGTATCAAAGAGCTTATGACTAATCAGGCCCTGTGCCCAGGGTTTTACATACATGACGCTCTCAGGACACAAAAAACGTATAATGCACTCATTCAGTGGAATGTCACATGGGCATAAAGAGGATGAGGAAAGATATCTATACTGTTTACTAACTGAAAAGGCCAACTTAAAAGTAAGATGCACCTGGGATCTCCTTTGTGTTATTTGTTCATCCTGCCAGCTTGCCCACAGAAGTCCTCCCAGCATGGAGAGTGGATGGGAAGAATTTCCACTGTGTATTTTATACGCTGTATATTGTTTATATTTGTTGCCACATACATATGATCGTTTTTGAACTTTTTTTTTTTTGAGTTGGAGTGTCACTCTGTTGCCCAGTCTGGAGTGCAGTGGCACATTCACGGCTACCACAGGTGATCATTCCACCTCAGCCTTCCAAGTAGCTGAAACTACAGGCACGCACTACCATGCCTGGCTAATTTTTTTATTTATTGTAGAGATGAGGTCTTGCCAAGTTGCCCAGGCTGGTCTTGAATCCATGAGTTCAAGCAATCCTCTCATCTCAGCATCCCAAAGTGCTGGGATTGCAGGCGTGAGCCACTGCACCCAGCCTCCTTTTGGAACTTAAAAAAAAACTAATCTTAAAGATATTTTTACAGAAAAAAAGGTCATGGTGTCACTGAATCTTCAAATAGCACTTCAAGAGGTACAATTAACCACATGCTACAGATGGAAGAACTGAGGTCTGAAAGTGGCTTGCCCTGGACTCCAGAACTCAGAAGTGGCAGAGAACCAGCAGTGGATGCCAGAACTGTGTGCTGACAGTGCCCTCCATGAAGAGAATATACCCGAGGCTCAGGACCTGGACCCACCTGTGGCATGTCCACTGGAACCTACCTTTAGGTCCAGGTGTAGGATGTAGTGCTGGTGGAGGTAACGCACACCCTCACAGATCTGCTTGGTGAACAAGACCACATCCAGCTCTGTCAGGTGGTACTTCTCATCCGTGATCCGGTCAAAGAGTTCACCCCCATGCACACTGCAAAGCACAGGAGGAGGCAGACCCCAAATTAAACAAAGCTCTGGGAGTACTTGTCCACTTTACCATCAGGAGCCAACAGAGCCGGCCCAGGGAAGCCCAAGGTCATGCCCCATGAGCCACAGGGACACTGCTGTCATCTGGGATTTTATCAGGACATCTGTCCTGGCCCATTCCCAGCAAAGATTGGGGTGATAAAAAGGAAGTGGCAGGCCAAAGGGAAGTCAGGCTGGTCATCAGCATTGACAATCCAGGACTACTCTGAATAATCCAGACCCAAGTTGTAAACTCACCTGCCCACAGGGGCTGGTTAGTACCCAGGTGGCAAGAAGCCTAAGTGGGTAAATTGAACCATATGTAAGAAAAATATCTAGAAAACACACAGTCCTTAGCCTATGTTTTGTTTTTCACATTTGATGGAGATAGGATGAGTGTCTTAGTCTTCTCAGCCCTGTCAGGGGAAAACAGCAGCACGTGCAAACATGAGCCACCTCTGAGCCCTCAGCTTAGTGCCAGGTGCTTAGGAGTGGCGGGGATTGCAGCAGAGCGAGCCTGGCAGGCCCTCTTACTGCCAGACCACCATCCCTAACTGGAACGCGGGCCCAGTGTGACTACACCTTTACGTTTTCAAGCAAAGCTGAATATCTAGGTTTTATTGTGAAATCTTCCAATTTCCAACAGTTCTAACTAATTCAAAATTACTGAAAACTGTATAGGCCAAACTGACATACATCTGCAGGTGAAACCGAGCTCACTGGGCCCTGGTTTGTAACAAAATGGCTTTGTCCTCCATGGTCCACATGGGAGGTCAAGGAGCCAAGCCAAAGAAGACAAGATGTTAATGGCCCCGGATGGTCCCAGTGAGGAAAAATGACAGAAGAGTGCTTTGCTAGAACAAAGGCTCTAAGTCCAGCCCCAAGACCCAGCCTGGGCAGAAGCCAGCCCCATCCCCATCCCCAGACACTCACTACTCCATGACGAGGGTAAAGCTGTTTTTGCTCTCGAAGGCATCATAGAGCTGGATCAGGTTCACGTGGCCAAGCTGGTTCATGATGCTGATCTCATTCTTCACGTCCTCCTTGGGAAACCAGAGAAGAGAGAGGTTTCCAAGCAAATGGATCAGGAAGAGGAGCCAGCTGTACCTCCCAAGACAGACAGACACACATACCCCTCATCCTTCTCAATTTCCTATTCTCCCATCAGGTCTCCATGACTCACCACCCAAACCAGATTATTTTTAGGTTTTTTTTGTAAGATGGGGTCTTGCCACATTCCTCAGGCTGGTCTCAAACTTCTGGGCTCAAGTGATTCTCATCTTCAACCTCCCACAGTACCAGGATTACAGTCCTGAGCCACCATGCCTGGCCTCCAAACCAGATATGTATGTATGTATGTACGTATGTATGTACATATTTATTTTTGGCAGAGTCTCACTCTGTTTCCCAGGGGAGTGTAGTGGCACAATCACAGCTTATGGCAGCCTTGACCTCCTAGGCTCAGGCAATCCTCCTGCCTCAGCATTTCGAGTAGCTGTGACTAGAGGTGCACGGCACCATGCCGAGTTAATTTTTTAATTTTTTTGTAGAGATGGGGTCTCTCTCTGATGCCCAGGCTGTTCTCAAACTCCTGACCTCCAATAATCCTCCCATCTTGGCCTCCCAAAGTGCTAGAATTATAAGCGTGAGCCACTGCTTTGTGACAAAGCCCCAAACCAGATTCTGAAACAGAAAGGACCTTAGTCTGACCCACCATTTCACAGATAGGAAACTTGAGGCCCAAGAAGGAAAGGGCTGTATTGCCCAGGGTCCTGTAGGTATCTTGGGAGAGCCATGCTGGACGCCTGTGTGTAGACAGGTGGGTAGAGTGTGGGAATCTTGGAAAAGGGTCAGGAAAGGCAGTAGGCTTTCTGCTCAGCATGGGGGGGCCTGAAGGACCCCAAAGAGAAAGAAGGAATGCTCGTCCTGGCCAGAGGGACCCGGCTGAACTGGGACAGATGCTTACCCGGTCCTTGGCGCTCTTCACTTTGATGATCTTAGCTGCCAGTGGGAGACCTGTGGACTTCTCTGTGCACCTGTGCACCTGGCCAAACCGGCCCCTGCAGAGACACGTTGACACAGTGGGCTGAGGGCCCGGGAGGCTCAGCCCACACATAGAGGGTCACCCATGCCCTGGGCTTCGTGGTCTACTCTCTCCTCTACATGCACACACCATGTGGGTGCTCCTATAACCCAGAGCATCCTGCCGTCACCCCCACACCATAGAGGCTGTCCTGCACACTAGAAAGTAACTTTTTTTTGGAGCTGGAGTCTCACTCTGTCACCCAGACTGGAGTGCAGTGGCCGCTCCCAGCCACCGCAGCCTCGACCTGCTGGGCTCCGGCGATCCTGCCGCCTCAGCCTTCCAAGTAGCTGGAACTACAGGCATGCACTACCATGCCCGGCTCATTTTGATTTATTGTAGAGATGAGGTCTTGCCAAGTTGCCCAGGCAGGTCTCGAACCTGCGGGCTCAGGCAATCCACTCACCTCAGCCTCCCAAAGGCGCGGGATTACACACTGAGCCACCGAGCCCGGTGAAAGTAACTTCTTTAGCCCCATACCATGAGTGGCCCTCGAGAACCTCACTTACCCTCCCACATGGACTCTCCTGAACTTCCCTCATTCCCCCCACATGGACTCTCCTAACCTCCCTCACCCCCCTACATTGGCTCTCCTGAGCCTCCCTCACCCGCCACATGGATTCTCCTGAACCTTCCTCACCTTCCCATGCAGGCTCTCCTATACTCTAGGGACACTCTCTAGCCCACTCTCATATTGAATGGAACACCCCACTCCTGACCTTGACTCCCTCAACCAGTTCCTGAGGCCCATTCAGCAGTGCCCAGCTCAGCTTTCCAGATGAGTCTGCCCCACTGCTCCTGTTCCCACCCTCATCAGGATGATGGCCCACCTACCCTCCCAAGACGTCATGCTGGCACACTGTGTAACTCGCCGAGACCGAGGTCTCCTTGACACTCACCACCCGGTGTTCAAAAGGGGCTGGTGGGGCTGGACTGTCATCTGTTCAGGAGACAAGGGAGGGATCCATGGTCCTGTGTGCAGTCTTGGCAACCTGTCTCAGACTCACCTGGTATTTTCTCAAAAATCATCTCACTGGAGCCACCCACTTGGCAGAGGAGGAAGCTGATTCTCAGAGAGGGAAGGTGACTGGCCCAACATCGCACGGTGAGCCAGAGACAGATGGGAGTCAACCGCTGGTCTCCTGGCACCTAGGACAGTGCTCTTTGCAAGGCTGAGAAGTGGTATTCAGTCTGTGCATGAAGTTTGGGAGGGGATCCCAAGCGGATCAGTGCAGTCGCAGGAAACAGAGGGCACATGTGGAGGGCAATTGAGCAGAGTTGAATAGGAGACTATTTTTAAAGGTGCCGTAAAGGCAGGGCTATGGAAGCCAGCAAGGGGTACAAGGGGCCAGCTGGGGAAATCCACACCCATCTTTCTCTCTTCTCGTCCCCAGTCTTCTGCCAGTGGATCCCAGTCATAAACCAAAGGGCAAGAGGACTACCCTGAGGGGACAGGATGGAGAGAGGGGAGGACAACGATCTGGAGGGGAGACAGAGATGGCTGGCACTCAGAAAGATTAAAACAATGGCTGAGGGTTCTTTTCTTTTTGTTGTTTTTTTGAGTTGGAGTCTCACTCTGTCGCCCAGACTGGAGTGCAGTAGCCGCTCCCGGCCACCGCAGTCTCGACCTGCTGGGCTCCAGTGATCCTTCCTTCTCAGCCTTCCAAGTAGCCGGAATTACAGGCATGTACTACCACGCCCGGCTGATTTTTTTTTAATTTATTGTAGAGATGCGGTCTTGCTGCCCAGGGGGGTCTCGAACCCGCGGGCTCAGGCAATCCACTCACCTCAGCCTCCCAAAGGCGTGGGATTACAGGCTGAGCCATCGAGCCCAGCTTGAGGGTTGTTTTAATTTAATCTTGACCTTCAGAGCTGATATGAATGCCTAGCAAAGTTACATGAAGTAGAGTAAAGGAGCTGGGTGCAGTGGCTCACACCTATAATTCCAGCACTTTAGGAGGCCCAGTCAGGAGGAACGCTTGAGCCCTACCTCCTAAAAAGAAATAAAGGAATAAAATAGAATCCAGAATATGCAATGGCATAAGCCAGTTTGTGCTCAAAGGGCTGGATGCTGCCATGGCAGGAAGTCAGAAGCTTGGTTGGCACCTGTCCAGGTGTGTCATGGAGCTTCTGCTGCTCTCTAACCACAGGGAGCACTCAGCACTCCACAGACAACTCTTGGACTAAGGCTGTGATCCTAGGCCTGGAGGGGTCACAAGGACACAGGACGGCTCCCACCACCCCAGGATGGCAGGCAGGGAAGCAGCCTCACCACCAAGTCCCTGCCAGAGCTGTGAACAGCCACAGCACTCACAAACAGCAGCGCATGCTCGTGCCTTTCAACAGGAGGCTTCTCAGTCCAAGATGACACCAGTGGGGGAAGTTCAGGCAGACTGGTGACTTGAAGAAACCTACCTGGCTGGGTCACAGACTCCTGCCTCCCCTCCCACTTCAGCCATGGGCACTCAGCCCTCAGCGTCCCTGCGCCCAGGGCTCCACCGGGATGTGCCATCAGTCGCTCCCAAGTCGTGGGGTCCCCAGACCGAAATCCTCAACCCTAGAAGCTACAACAAGGCCCCCAGGGGCAGGGACCCCAAAATCACTCACCTTAGGACTCGTGTCTGGCAGGGCACCCGCCTCACTTACCCAGAACTATACTGCCTGCTTCGGCACCGGGGGGCGTCCTCGCTCCTGCCTCGGCTCCCCCCAGGTCTCCAGCTGTGCAGTCCTTCTTGGGCTCAGGGTGCCCTGCTCCCAGGCCTCTGTCCTGTGCCAAGCCCAGGGCCTCAGCGGCACCGGCTCCACCATCCTGCCTGGCCACCCTTGGTCCCACGCCTGGCTCGGCACCAGGCCCTGGCTTCTCCTCTGCCTTTGCTGTCCTGTGGCTGCTCTTCTGCAGTGGGGAGAAGGCTCTGGCTCCTTCGGGGGTCTGTTCTCCCCATCCGGGTCCAGGGCCTTGGAGGCAGCACCTGGGCCCGGGCAGGTCCTGCACACCCGGGTGGGCAGCTGCCAGAGCCTCCGTGGGGCACGTGCTTCCGAGGCTGCCCCCTGTCGTCACCAGCAGCTCCCCAGGAGCATCCATATCCAGCATATGGATGGAAACCCTGGGGCAGAGAGAAATGCCATCCTGGGGTTAAAGGCAAGGACTCTGGGGCTGGAATAGACCCAAATCCAAATGCACACTGCTATCGCCACTGACAGTGGCCACCAGGCCTCAGTTTTCTCCTCTGCAAAATGGGGCTCTTGGGGCTGCTATAACAGTAAGGGTTAGCTTGTGATTGGAACTAACAGGCTCCATCCCCTGCCCCTCTGGATCCCTGACCACCTGTGCCCAGAGGGGACACCAGGGGAGGAGCTAGCTGCAGGGACAGATGGCACCATCAGCTCTCAGGACTCCGCTGGCTGAGGATCCAGGGAAATTTGAGACAGCATGTGGTGGACAGGCACCTCTGAGGCTCCAGAAAACCTGCTTCAGTCCGCAGGAGTGTTATGTCCTTCAGGATGGACACTGGGTTCTTTCGCCCTCCCTTTCAGTTAAATTAAGAGAAGGAGGCACCAAGTCAAACATCACACTGGATGCCCCAAGTCAGATAGATTTGATGAAAATCACACAAATGCTTATACCAAGACTTTCTGGTTCTCTTGAACAAATAGAAGAGCCGGCTGTGCTGTGCTTGTGTGGACACACAGATGAAGGGCAGCTCACCACCTGCCATAGGCCCTGCAGCACCCTGACTCATCCTCACGACCCAGACCCTGTGGCCCTCTGATCCTGGACATTCAGAGGTAAAGACCCTGACCCTGGCAGACATGCCCCCCAAGGGTCAGACACTCTCTTTCAAAGTTCCCCTACTCTGACTGCCTCTCAGTGGGGCTTCTTGTTGCTGGATCACAATCCCACTGCCATGGGGTCTATGTGTGTTGGTGGGGTGAGAGGTGACAGTGTCTGGCATGGACTGAGTCTTCGGAAGGGAGGCAGGTGGTCTCAGTTCTGGTTTTAGCTCTGCCATTAGGTTGCTGGATGACTTTAGACAAGTCTAGCCTCAATTCCCTCTCTGTCAAACAGGGATGGTAATACCTTACAGAGTCAACCAAGAGAGGAAAACACTAAGGCAGGGTTCAAAAAGTGAGGCCTAAAATGGTGCAATCGTGATGGAAAACTGGAGGTACTTCGGACATTACAGTAGAATTATTGGGTTGAGTGCAGTGGCTCATGCCTGTAATCCCAGCACTTTGGGAGGCCGAGGTGAGAGGATTGCCTGAGTCCAGGGGTTCGAGACCAGCCTGGGCAACTTGGCAAGACCTAATCTCTACAATAAATACAAAAATTAGCTGGGCAAGATGGTGTGTACTTGTAGTTCCAGCTACTCAGAAGGCTGAGGTGGAAGGACCACCTGAGCCCAGCAGGTCAAGGCTGCAGTGGCCGTGAGTAGGCCACTGTACTCCAGCCTGGGCAACAGAGTGAAACTCTGACTCAAAAACAAAACAAAACAAAAAGTAGAATTATTGCTGGGTGTGGTGGCTCACACCTGTAATCCCAGGACTTTGGAGACCAAGGCAGGAGGATCACTTGAACCCAGAAGTTCAAGACTAGCCTAGGCAACACAGCAAGACCCTGTCTCGACAAAAATCGAAAAAATTAACCTGGTGTGGTGGCACACACCTGTAGTCCCAGCTACTCAGGAGGCTCATGCAGGAGGATCACTTGAGCCCAAGAGTTGGAGGCTGGGTGGTGAGCTATGATCATGCCATTGCACTCCAGCCTAGGTGACAGAGTGAGACTTTGACTCAAAATAAAAAACTCACAGAAACAGACAACAGAATGCTGGTTGCCAGGGTCTGGGAAGAGGGAGATGGGAAGTGCTTGTCCAATGGGTATAGACTCAGTTCACAAGATGAAAATGTTCTGGAGACATGTTTCACAACAACATGAACACACTTAACATGACTGAACTCTACACCTAGAAATGGTTTTGATGGTAAATTTTATATTATGTGTTTTGTTCACAATTTTAAAAAATGAAAGAAAATAGTGAGGCCTTTCTCAGCCCGTCTCTCTGAGCTCTAAGACATATATACCTGTCCTTGGGTGCGTCTAAAACACTTGTAGGCAGAAGGCTGAAGTCCTTCCAACACTGTGTCCCTTGGGACTGAGTATGGGCTTGTAGGATGGGCAATATGTCATCTAAGCCACTCCAAACCTGTTCAGGCCTTGTTCCAATCCAAGGGACATAGGAGACTACAGCAAGCCAGAGTTCAGCCAAGGTCAGTAGCCACCACTCTGGGGCTTCACATTCAGGGGTTGTGGGTGACCCCAGAGGCCAGCGTGCAGTTCCCTGCTCCATGAGTGCCACAGTTTTCCCCCTAACCGTGCAGTACACCCATGGCAGGCATTGCTAACCAACTCCTGCACTCAGTGCCACCAAGCCCAGACCCAGCCTAAGGACCCTCTACACAGGCAGCCACTGCAAACCACAGCTGACACCTGACTTCAAATCTGTTTTTCTCAAAAAATACCCACGTCCATGGTGAGAAAGGGCAGGACATGACCTGCGTGTCACTGTCCATCTGGTGAGCCTGAAATTCAGCTCCGGGCTGAAGTGGAGACCGAGATTTTCCTTCTACTCAGAATCTTTTTGGGGCCCCTTGTGAAGCAAACATCCATAGAAAACTCACCCCAGGCTTAGATTTCACATTTAGAGTCCTGGCCCAGATCCAGGGATGCCTGCCCTGGAGTCCCTCCCTCTAGCTTGTTAGGTCTCCTGGGAGGCTCCCATTTCCTTCCAGAACAAAGGCTTCTCTGCCAGTCACCACAGCAAACACAGATACCAGCTCCCCTCCCGGAGCCCAGCCTCAGGCCTCAGTTATGGGTCAGGACAACTCAGGGCAAGTGCAGGGGATACTAGGGGGATCCTAGGCCCCTCTGAGAGAAGCCCAAGAAGCACAGTGCCCTTTGGCAGGGTCCCGCCCCCCCATACCCCCGGTGACAGGATGTTTGCTTCACAAGACTAGTAAATTCAGGGCTGGGGCAGGCTTGAAAGCCAGCAGGTTCCTTGTTTTCCTGCATTGTTTCACTGTGTGCAGATCCCGAGGTGCATCCTCGGGGTCAGAGCAGCTACCACAGCCCATCTCCAGAACTATCCATGTGATCCTCCCAAAGTCCCCTGGGTTGGCTCAACCTGCACCCACTCCCACCCCTGAGTGCCCCAACCTTCTCTCGCCACCATATTATTTAAGACTTAATGAAATGTTGACCTAAAGAAGCAGGATGGTACAGTGGTTAGGGCCACAGGTTATGGAGCTCTGTAACCTGGTTCAGATCCCAGCTCTATGAATCCCTAGCTGTGTGGCCCTGGATGCTGTGAGCCCAAGTTTCCTCATCAATAAAATGGGAATGACAACCACACCCACCTCCTGGGGAGGTTGAGAGAATAAAATGAGATGATGCTAGCAAAATGCTCAGCCAATGCCTGGCATGTGCAGGGAGCTCCGAGAGCCCAATCTGTTATTATTGATCTAAGAGCTAAAAACTCTTTTTTTTTTGAGACAGGATCTTACTCTGTTGCCCAGGCTGGAGTGCAGTGGCACAACCACAGCTTACTGCAGCCTCAACCTCCTGGGCTCAGACAATCCTTCCAACTCAGCCTCTCAAGTAGCTAGGACTACAGGTGTGTGCTACCATGCTCGGCTTATTTTTTATTTTTTGTAGAGATGAGGTCTCACTATGCTGCCCAGGTTGGTCTCGAACTCAAGGCCTCAAGTAGTCCTCTTGCTTCACTGGGATAAAAGGTATAAGCCGCCACACCTGGCCACAAAGAGTTAATGACTCCTAGCCCTGGTCCCCACTGGGATCACCTGGGAGCATATGTTTAAAAATCTAATACCTGAGATTTACTTCAGACTAATTAAAGCAGCCCTCTAGGTATCTTTATTTTTTAAATTTTCCCCAGGTAATTCTAGTGGTCAGCAGGTGAGAACCAGTTCTCTAAGCTCCCAAATGCAGGACCCTAGGCTTTCTTCTATCTTATCCCTCACGAAATCAATCCAACACTAAAACACAAAGTGGATACTCAACATCTGTAGCTGGCCAACAGAGGGGCTGCGGTCAGCCCCTTACCTTGCCCGGGTTAGAAGAGCATCCTTACCTTCGAAGAGTTTCTCCGCCACCGCAAGCTGTCCTGGCTTGAGCTGGCAGCCCTGGAGGCCCCGGAAGCTGGGGGCTGGGCCCTGAGGTCAGCCTCATGCCCTCCTCTGAGAGCCCAAGGTCAGGCCTGCTAGGCGATGTTCCTTGTTCTGTATTTGGTGCTGCCTCCTGACTGGTGGGGACATTACTGCCCTTGCTGGGTGCTACACACAATTCCAGGCCAGTCCCGGGATTCTCACTGGATGGCTCAGTAACTTTGGCTTCCGTCTCTGTGAGCAGCAGCAGGTGGTCAGGGGAAACCTGGCCAGGGCCAGGAACTCTCTCTCTCTGTCCTGGTGAGGCCCCTGCCTGAGTGAGGAAGTCAGCTCCCGTCCCTGAAGCGCTGATGGGAGGCAGCCTCTCCACTGTCCCTTCTGGCAGGTCCACCTTCTGGCTTTCTATAAAAACAGGAGACAAGAGGATTACCTGAGCTCAGGGGTTCAAAACCAGCCTGAGCAACATGGTGAGACCTCATCTCTACAACAAAGCAAAAAATCAGCTGGGCATGGTGGCACATGCCTGTGGTTCCAGCTACTTGGGAGACTGAGGCAAAAGGATCACCTGAGCCCAGCAGATCGAGTCTTGCAGTGGCCATGGGTGTGCCACTGCACTCCAGCCTGGGTGACAGAGTGAGACGCTGACTCAAAAAGTAAAAAACAAATACATAAATAAAAACAGGCAGGATAAAAATACATTCCCATGTGAAGAAATCTGTCACAGATACCGCAAGGAGTAGGCACAAGGCCATGGAATACACCATGTTAACTAGAGCCAAAGACCAGAAGCAATGGCCATCAGCAGGGGCTGATTGACTAAATCATGGTACACCCACACAATGGAGTGTTCACAGCCATGAGAAAGGAGAAATTAATATCTCCATACACAGCTATGAGTGAGCTTAGGATACTTACTGTAAGTGAGCAAAGCAAGGTGGAGACCAGTGTGCACAGTGTCTTGTGTAACCTAGAAGGGAGCATGTATGTGCGCATATGCACGTGTGCAAGCAACTGTCTATAGTGTGGTCTGAATAGACTGGACCTCAAAGGGAAGACAAAACAAAAACTTTTTTTTTTGAAGTTGGAGTCTCACTCTATTGCCCAGGCTGGCGTACAGCGGCATGCTCACAGCTACTGCAGCCTCGACCTGCTGGGCTCAGGTGATCCTTCTACCTCAGCCTTCCAAGTAGCTGGAACTACAGACAGGCAACACCACACATGGCTAATTTTTTTATTTTTTGTAGAGACGAGGTCTCGCCAAGTTGCCCGGGCTCAGGCAATCCTCTTGCCTCCCAAAGTACTGGGATGACAGGAGTGAGCCACTGCATCCAGCCAAGACAAAAAACTCTTTAAATGACTACACATGCAGGGAGGAAACAGGGTTCAGAGAACCGGAATGTCAGCTAGACTTCTCTTAATACACAGTCGTGGACTGCTAATGACACGAGGTCAAGAACAGACCTCATACACAACAGTGGTCCCATAAGATTATTATTATTATTCTTATTATTGAGTTGGAGTCTCACTCTGTCGCCCAGGCTGGAGTGCAGTGGCATGCTCTCGGTCACTGCAGCCTCAACCTGCTGGGCTCAGGCGATCCTTTCACCTCAGCCTTCCAAGTAGCTGGAACTACAGACGTGTGCTACCACGCCCGGCGAATTTTTTTTATTTATTGTAGAGACGAGGTCTCACCATGTTGCCCAGGCTGGTCTCGAACCCGTGAACTCAGGCAATCCTCTTGCCCTGGCATCCCAAAGTGCTGGGATTATAGGCTTGAATCACTCCAGCCTCCGTAAGATTATAGTGACACTTTTACTGTACGTTTCTATGTTAAGATACTCAAATACTTAACACTGTATTGCAGTTGCCTGCAGGTCAATACAGTAACCTGCATGCAGATGTATAGTCAGGAGCAGCAGGCTTCTCCCACACACCCAAGGTGAGTGGTGGGCTTTACCATCTAGGCTTGTGTAAGTACCCCCTATGATATTTGCACAACAATACCGCCTCATGGCATCTTTTTCTGAATGTATCCCCATCATTAAACAATACACGACTATGACGTGTTTTGTCTATTTGACTTTGGAATCATGTAAATATTATGCAAAATTATAAAATTAAACTTTAAAAAGTAATCCATAAACTTTTAAAGAAAAATGAAATCAGTAAACCTGAGTATCAAGCTGGTGGCATAATCGACATAGTGCCAAGTGATTTCAAAACATAACAATTAGCTAGACATCTCTAGTGGGATACACATAAAATAACTCCAGAAACAGGAGCTTCAACAGTTGTTCAGCACCCATATTTTGGCAGTATTGCTGGCACTTTTAATCTGAAGCTGCCTTGTATATAGTGTGGGAGAAAGCAGCTGGGACTCCACTCACCTTCCCACGACTCCCAGATGTCAGTCTGCACACCCCTGGTGCTCAGCACATGCTTTCGTTTCGCTCCCCTCTCTTCTGCTCGCTCTCTGTTCTAAAATAACAACCATAAAAACTATCATCATAATCATCAACATCATCATTCAGGCCTCACACGTTCACTGAACACCTACCACGTGCTTAAAATAAAGGGACTTCAAATACTTCACATAGTCTCACAGGAGCATTAAAGCAGACACTGCCATTATTACTTTAGAGATAAGGACACTGAGGCCTTTCAAGGCCATAAGAGTTAGAAGAGGAGGAGACCAGTTTCAAATGCAGAACCTGGTCCTTTCCAACGCCTCACCACATTGCCAGGGAAAGGTGGGTCCAGACCCAGACAGGGGGCTCTAGTCTGGACCTCAAAGGACTCACATTGTGGTGGTGATTACATGGTTGTAAACACTTAAAATGTGTTAATTGTACATTTAAATGTGCATTTAAAATGTGCATGGAGCCGGGCTCAGTGGTCCAACCTGTAATCCAGCGCCTTTGGGAGGCTGAGGTGAGTGGATTGCCTGAGCCCACGGGTTTGAGACCCGCCTAGGCAACTTGGCGAGACTTCATCTCTACAATAAATCAAAAAATTAGCCAGGTGTGGTAGCGCACGCCTGTAGTTCCAACTACTTGGAAGGCTGAGGCGGAAGGATCGCCAGAGCCCAGCAGGTCGAGGCTGCGGTGGCCAGGAGCGGACACTGCACTCCAGTCTGGGTGACAGAGTGAAACTCCAACTCTAAATAAATAAATAAATAAATAAATAAAATAAAATGTGCATGGTTTGTGTGTAGGTGTACCTTTTTATATGTAAATTATACCTTAATAAAATAATTATTATCTAAGAATTATATCTGCAAATAAAACCGTAGATAAATACATAAATAAATACCTGTAAATAAAATAAATACCTGTACATAAAACATGATTGTAAACATGATTGTAAACACTTAGAATGTGTCAAATGTGCATGGTTTGTGTGTAGGTGTACTTTATTATAAGTAAATTATACCTTAATAAAATAATTATTATTTAAGAATTATACCTGTAAATAAAACTGATCAGAAAAAAATTCTAAGTTCTCAGCTTCTCTTGAAAAAAATCTGAAGACCCAGCAACTCCATGCCCACATGGGGCAGCTCTCTCTACCTGGCATCTTTCCCAAATGTCTCCCTGGCCTTGCAGCTGAGTACTGGCTCCATTTTCCCTTGAACTGTGCCCACTTCTCTCAAGTCTATTTCCTGCTCGGCCCTTGGAACTTCAGGACATCAAGCCCTACTCTTCTAATGGTCAGGATGTCACATAGAGCACACATAGCTCAGAACCTGGCACATAGCAGGCACTGAGCAGAAAGTGCTGGCTTCTGTAGCCATGATAGTCACCATCCCCATTGGTCAGCCCCATCAATGTGGCCCAAACTCCTTATCCTTCTGCAGGCTTTGTCCTACCATCCCTGTAGCTGGGGGGACATTATCCTAGACCTCCTCCTGCCTCACCTCACTAGTAGGAAGGGGCTCAAACAAACTGTCCTTTGGCAGACCTTGCTGAGCTCAAACAGTCCCCTCACGCCCTGTCTCTAGTGTAGACAGGCACACACACACACACACACACACACACACACACACACACACACACACATCACACACACCCCACGTGCAGCTGGGTCCTGTTCTCAAGGCTCAACCTTCAGTCCCTGTCTTGTCTGTGCACCAGAAGAAGCAGAAGAGATCTCCAACACCATCCTAGAAGCCGAGGCATGTGAACCACCTGACTGGTTCTGGCTCATCCCTGGCCAAGCCCGAGGGCATCTCTCATGGGAGTACCTGGCTTCCAGTGGTCATCAGTGGCTTCCTTGTTGCAGTCAAATGAAGTGCTCAGGGCACATCAAAAGATCCAGGGAGGGACTTCATGCAGTCCTGGCACAACTTTCCAATCTAACAGCCAATGCTGGGATTGAATTCAGTTCCACAAATGATTGCTATGCCCTACTCTCTGAGGAAACACAAAGAGGGTCCACTGAAGGTCTCCATAATGCACAGTTGTCAGCACTGACCATGTCAAGTAGCTGTGGCTACATCTTGGTTCACTGTCCATTCTCTGAGCCCCTCCTGCAAGAGCAGCCCTGGCCTCCACACAGAGGGCAGGCTTCCTGTCATGGGCCAATCAGCAGCTGCAGACTGATGGGAAGACTGGATTCAAAGCTGAAGACAGTGGCTGACATGTGTATTAAACACATGGACCAGAAGAAAGATCAGTGAAGTGCTGGTGGGACATGTACACAAGATGTTGCAAAAATTCAGAAAAGAGAAAGTTCTATGACTGCTGTTCTCCAGGAATGCCTACCTAGATGTATGACAGCTGATTTCATTAATATAAGAAGCACTCATAAAACAATAAGAAAAAAACAGACAGGGAAGAGGAAAGAAGACATGAGCAGGCAGGTCACAGAAAATGCATATTTTAAGCCTATGGATGGTGTTTACTCTTCTAGTAAAAGAAATATAAATTAAGCCGGGCTTGGTGGCTCAGCCTGTAATCCCAGCACTTTGGGAGGCTGAGGTGAGTGGATTGCCTGAGCCCGCAGGTTCGAGACCCGCCGGGCAACCTGGAGAGACCTCATCTCTACAATAAATCAAAAATTAGCTGGATATGGTAGTGCGTACCTGTGGTTCCAGTTACTTGGAAGGCTGAGGCGGAAGGATCGCCGGAGCCCAGCAGGTCGAGGCTGTGGGGGCCAGGAGCGGCCACTGCACTCCAGTCTGGGCAACAGAGTGAGACTCCAACTCAAAAAAAAAAAAAAGAAAAAAGAAAAAAAAAAGAAATATAAATTAAGCCGGGCTCGGTGGCTCAGTCTGTAATCCCAGCGCTTTGGGAGGCTGAAGTGAGTGAACTGCCTGAGCCCGCGGGTTCGAGACCCGCCTGGGAAACTTGGCGAGACCTCATCTCTACAATAAATCAAAAATTAGCTGGGCGTGGTAGCCCGCGCCTGTAATTCCAGCTACCTGGAAGGCTGAGGCGGAAGGACTGCCAGAGCCCGGCAGGTTGAGGCTGCGGTGGCCGGGAGCGGCCTGCTGCACTCCAGTCTGGGTGACAGAGTGAGACTCCAACTCAAAAAAAAAAAAAAGAAATATAAATTAAAACTATGAGATATTAGAGAAGAACAAAATCATGAACTTCGCAGCAACATGGATGGAATTAGAGCTTATAATACTGTGTTCTCTCACAGAAACAAAGAGATGAGTATCACATGTTCTCACTCATAAGTAGACCTTGAACAACTACCATATTACTGTAGAAAAGGGAATGAAAGTAGCGGGAAACTGTGGGAAGGGGGGTGGGGGAGATAGCTGGGATTGACGGTAGTCGATATCCACCTGGGGAAGGGGGGGGCACACCTCATCAATAAGGGTACTTGCACAATGAACATTTGTATACCTAACCCTGAATTGTACCCCACAATTTCAAAATGAAAATTAAAAGATAAAAAAAAACTATGAGATATGTTATTCTATCTAGTTTGGTTACAGTTGAAATTTTCCATAACAAAAAGTTTAAATTATTTTATGAATTCAAAAGTAGAATTAACCCAGTACTTTGGGAGGCAGAAGCAAGATGAATGCCTGAGCCCAGGAGTTTGAGACCAGCCTGGGCAACCTGGCGCAGTCTCATCTCTACAATAAATAAAAAAACTTGCTGGGCATGGTGGTGTACCTGTAGTTCCAGCTACTTGGAAGGCTGAGGCGGAAGGATCACCTGAGTCCAGCAGGTAAAGGCTGTGGTGTCCGTGAACATGCCACTGCACTCCAGCCTGGACAACAGAGTGAGACTCCAACTCAAAAAAAAAATAGCCTTAAGAAACATATAACTAATTGCCTCATTTGGGTATGATTCAAATAAACCATAACCATTTTTAAAAGTATAAGATGGGCTGGGCTCGGTGGCTCAGTCTGTAATCCCAGAACTCTGGGAGGCTGAGGCTAGTGGATTGCCTGAGCCCGTGGGTTTGAGACTAGTCCTGGCAACTTGGCAAGACCTCGTCTCTAAAATAAAAAATAAAAAATAAAAAATTATCCAGGCACGGTAGCATGCACCTGTAGTTCCAGCCACTTGGAAGGTTGAGGCGGAAGGATTGCCGGAGCCCAGCAGGTCGACGCCGGGGTGGCCGTGAGCATGCCACTGCACTCCAGCCTGGGAAATGGAGTGAGATTCCAATTCAAAAAAATAAAAATAATAAAAAATAAGGCCGGGCATGGTGGCTCATGCCTATATTTCCAGCACTTTGGGAGGCTGAGGTGAGAGGATTGCCTGAGTCCACGGGTTCGAGACCAGCCTGGGAAACTAGGTGAGACCCTATCTCTACAATAAATAAAAAATTAGCCTGGTGTGGTGGCGTGTGCCTGTAGTTCCAGCTACTTGGAAGGCTGAGGCGGAAGGATCGCCTGAGCCTAGCAGGTTGAGGCTACGGTAGCCGCGAGTGTGCCACTGCCCTCCAGTCTGGGTGACAGAGTGAGACTCCTACTCAAAAAACAAAGATAAAAATAAAAAATAAGCCAGGCTTGGTGGCTCAGCCTGTAATCCTGCGCCTTTGGGAGGCTGAGGTGAGCCTGAGCCGGCAGGTTCGAGACCCACCTGGGCAACTTGGCAAGACCTCATCTCTACAATAAATCAAAAATCAGCCGGGCATGGTAGCTCGCGCCTGTAGTTCCAGCTACTTGGAAGGCTGAGGCGGAAGGATCGCCAGAGCCCAGCAGGTCGAGGCTGCGGTGGCCAGGAGCGGCCACTGCACTCCATTCTGGGCAACGGAGTGAGACTCCAACTCAAAAAAAAAACAACAAAAATAAATAAATAAATAAACTATAAGATGATTGGGAAAATTTGAATACTGGCTTTAGTAATATTAAGACATTATCATTTGCTTTTTGAGGTATGATAATGGCATTGTGATTATGTTTTTTAAAAGAGTCATTATCTTTTAATTTTTATATTTTTGTTTTTAACCACTTAACAGTCAGTCCTACCTCTTAAGGAGCTCTTATCTTCTAGATACAAATGCTAAAACATTTATAAAAGAAATGACCTGATATCTCAAATTGGCTTAAACAATCTGGGGGAAGTGGGTGGGTAACACATGGAAGTGGGTGGGTAACACAGTTTCCAGTGGATGAGGGGAAGCTAAGCTGGCAGATGAGTTTACAGGGCTCATTATCTTAATTTCTATCTTTATAAAAGTTTAAAATGTTTAAACAAAAATGTTAAGAAACATGCACAACGAGCCCTCATTTTCATGTACCAAACAGGCAAAGACAAAAGGCTTCCCATACACGATTGGTAGGAGACTACTCTGAAATTAGTTCCCTGAACCAAGTTCCTTGGTTTGGCTTCATCTATACAAATCTACCCCCAGCCTAGCATTTCCATTGCTAGGAGTGTATCAAAAAGATAAGCTCACACTCATGTTCCAAGACATACATCTAGGGATGTTCACTGCATCATTATTTATAACAGCTAAAGATGAGTAACCACATAAACAAACAAGGACATGGGACTGGTTAAAAAAATTAAGACGCATCCCCAAAATGGAGTACCCCAAACACATTTGCAAAAATATGGAGATAAAACAATGCCCAAAATACATTAAGTAAAAAATAAAAAGTCAAGCCCAGAACAATGTGCATAATGTTTGAGCTGAACCGAAATAAAACAAAAAGGGTGATGCATATGCCAGTGGCTTGCCGATGCACAGCCGTGTCTGGAAGGACCCAGGAGACCAGCAGCTATACTTGCCTAGGAAGGCAGGGTAGAACAGGGGCGCTATATGCGCTTTATACTATACAGTTTTTTCTACTGTGTACATATTAATTTTTAAAAGTTATTGGTTAGATTTATTTTATTATGTTACAAACATGCCTCTGTATCCAACGAGGACTGGTTCCAAGGCCCACCTCTGATACCGTCATTCATGATGCTCAAGTCCCTGATATAAGTTGGTGTAAGGCCAGGTGCCGTGGCTCAAGCCTATAATCCCAGCACTTTGGGAGATTGAGGTTAGAGGATTGCCTGAGTCCAGGGGTTTGAGACCACCCTGGGCAACTTGGTGAGACCTCGTCTCTACAATAAGTCAAAAAATTAGCCGGGCATGGTGATGTGCGCCTGTAGTTCCAGCTAATTGGAAGGCTGAAGCAAAAGGATCGCCTGAGCCTAGCAGGTCGAGGTTGCAGTGGCCAGGAGTGTGCCACTGCACTCCACCCTGGGAGACAGTGAGACTCCAACTCAAAAAAAAAAAAAAAAAAGATGGTGTAATATTTGCATATACCCTATGCAATCCTCCTGTCCACTTTACATCCTCTCTAGATTACTTATAATACCTAATACGGATAAATGCCATATAGTTCTACTGTACCGTTTAGAGGATAATGACAAGAAAGAAAAGTCTGTCCACATTCAGTGTAAATGCAACCATTGTAGGCCTAACTACATTTCTATCTGAGGCTGGCTGAACCTGCAGGTGTGAAGGGCCAACTACATTTAGAGTAATTTTCTTTTTTAAAGCTGTGACTGATCATCAGTGGCAAAAGCAGAGGTGCACAACTCCCCTGTGGCCAAACTCAACAGGGTGGCACAGTGCAGGGGAGCTGGGTGGAGGGGTACACTCTGGGAGAAGCTGCAGGACCTGGAGGGGAAGGGGCCCGCCAGTGTGAGTGCCGACCTGGTGGGCTGGGAAGAAAGGCACACCCCGATTCCATCAGAATGCAACTCGCCTCTTGCTGGTGGTAACTGCTAGAAGCTGAGACTGTGGCTCCAGGCTGTCTGAGTGTTGCTAAGTGGCTGATCCTTAGCTGTTCCCAAACAGGGTGTTGCCTCCCCACACCTCATCCCCATAACCTTGCCCCGGCAGCCAAGCTTCCACTCGCCAGCAGCTTTGATTATGCAACCCCAGGGAACAGCCGCTCCCAGAAATGCCACCTGCCACCCCCAGGCTCCGGCTTCTGCCTGCCTTCCCTGGGTACCTGTCAACACTCATCTCCCCACAGGCAGCTGCACACTCCACCCCCTCAGGGGCAAAGCACAAGGTTGGAGACAGGAAGAGGGGGTACGTTTCTGAGCAGGGGCTCTGTCAGGGCAAACTGGCCACCCCCACCTGTCTCCCACCCCAGGTGTGAAGGAGCAGAAAGGTAGACACAGCAAAGTCAAAGAAGCTTGATGTCCTCTCCCTAACTGCCAGGCTGTCCCCCACTTCCAAGTTCGCTGGAGCTGCCCAAGGCCCCACAGTCATGGCCAGGGCACTATCCCTTCCTTTCTCTGGTAAGAGCAGCAGTCAGTGTCCTGCCTGAAATCTACCTGTGAGGTTCCGGTTCTCCTTTTCCCAACTGGCAGGTCACACAGGAAGCACAAGAAGGGGACATCCCTCCAGCTCTTCTAAGACCAGCCGCAGGTTCTCCCCACCAGGGCCCTAGGCCTCCCTTCCAGCCAGGGCAGGGACGCAGGAACCAACCTCGGTGCCATCAGCCAGGCTGCCTCTCCTCCAGGGGATACTCCCTTGCATGGTGAAATCCAACCCCTTCGAGTTCTGGAGCGTGGACCCTACCACAGTGATGGCCCTGTCCACAGCCACCATCATCCTGAAGAGGGCTTCAAGTCTGGTGCCGTGCTGGGTTGCCTCCTGCTGCGTGGCCCTCACCAGCTCCAGGACCTCAGGCCACCCCACCTGGGTGTCCCCTGGGGGAGCCCCATTGGGCCCAGCTGGGCCCAGTACTCGGGAGGCTTCCAGCCTGTGCAGGCCCTGCTCCAGGTGGCTCATGCCTTGGCACACGCAGTGCAGCTTCTCCGTGACGTCTTCTTGGAAATGCAAAAGTTTGTCCACCTTCTCGTTCAGCATGCTAAGCTTTTTGTCCATGGTGGTTAAACAGACCTTGTTTAGCATGGGCAGCTCCTGGGGCCCCAGACACTCTTCGGAGGCTCCTGACATCCTGATGAGGCAGTGACAAAGACAAGGGCGAGAAAACGAAGAGCCAGACACCTATGGTTTTCACCTGAGTGGGAGTGTCTGGAAATTCATTGTCCTTGGCAGCAAACAGCCTCCCCGGCAGCACCAACTTGCACGGGCCGCTGGGGTTGCTTGGAAGCCCAGAGCACTGGGTTCTCTCTGTGCCTTTGGTGGCTTATCTCCCACCCTGCCATGGGCCGTGAATGACGGGCTAGTCTGGCCCAGGCTCTTCTCCTTGGGGCCCCTTTGACATCACAGCAGCTTTTAACATTCCTCTTTGAGAGGCTGCTGATGGGCAAATATTTTAAGAATCTGTCCAGGGCCTGCAGGGATTCGGCAGCTGAAGCTAAAGGTTAGAAGGAAAAAGTGCTTTAGGTAATGGCACCTGTCAGCTGGACTCTGTCAGGGATCCCAGGGCACAGGAAGACCCACAGTGCCCCAAAGCACTGAGGCCACACATAACAGAGTCACGATAATAAGTAAGACCAACACAAAAAGGCGAGAGACCATTCAGCAATGGTGCAATTTTGCCATGATGAAAAATGAGATGCCCCTGCAAATTAAAAACACATTTTCAGGTGCCCCTACTTTGCTGATGCCCAAAACATGTGTATAGATTGCCTGTGGTCTTCAGGCCCCCTCCCCACCTGGGGCCCTCAGTCACGCCTCACTTGCACCTAAAAATAGAACTGAAGGACAATGGCCTAGGATATTGCCAAACACCATCCTCCAGGGGACATTTACCAGAGGTCCCTGCTCCCCCAGTAACGACACCAAATTTCTAAACTGAAACAGGCTCTGCAGGGGCCCTGGGATCAACAGGGCCTGTGAGTCTCTTGGTTTCCAAATGCCTTGGCTTTGAAGCCTTGGCTTCAAAAACTGTTGGTTTGGATGAAACTTTTTACAAAAGCATCAATAAGTAAAGCAGATATGAGCAGACACTCAGGTTGTCACTGAGGTGAGGAACAGGGAGCACTGCAAAGTCCCAAGAATGCTACTGAGTGGCCTCACTTACACCATTTCTGTCCAGTCCCTCGTGGGGAGAAAGTAAGGCCCAGAGAGGAAAATTTCCCAAAAGGCACTCAGGCACTTGGCCTCCTGGAAGTGTGCATCAGCCATGGACCATGCTGGCAGTAAGGTAAGGAGGCCTTAATGTCCCCCTAAACCTCCCCCACCTAAATAAAAACAATTATGATGACCTCTGACTACGAATTTGACATCTAAAAGCACTGTTAGAGGGGGTTGCTGCTTTAAGCCACAGATGGCCGACCAGGTTGACGCGCTTGCTGTGACAGCAGCTTCACCACAACCGCCCCACCTATCTTTCTATCCAGGTGGTCACTCCTAAGCAGCCCTGTAGAATCCAAACCCTTCGGAAGCACAGTCCTGGGTGTCATCGGTGGCATGACCCAGAACATGCTCAAAAGAGCACAGGTCTGTTGTATTCACTGATTCCAAACAAGCCCATATTAACAAAGTCTTCTTGGAGAAAGCAAGTGGGTGGTAACATTGTGTTTCAAATGCTCTTGGGGGTTCACTGTGCCCCTCAGTGGGATCCCATCTGCCACAGAAAAGAAACCTGCATCTGACCAGGAAGCCACACTTTCCCCAGCACTTCATGGTTAGTGTTTCCCTGTGGAATCAGGACTGGGAAAGGGCTGCCTAGAGAAATCACCGACTGTCTAACACATACCCCTTGCCGCTCTCCCAGCTGGTACCTAGAAACTTTGTGGAATGAAGTTCTCACTAGACTGCAGAGACAGACCCCAGTCTCTGGAAGATCACTGAAGCAGCAAGCATCCAGGCAAGTCCTGGGTTAATAAAGCCTGGAAAGATATCTTGAGAGTCCAGAGGAACCCAAAGAAAATAAAAGCCCCCGACATATGTCTATATCAAAAGCTAATTATAAACATTACAAGAGTTTGCTCAGGGTCTCCCATGAGCAACACGTTTACAAGGCAACTCATTTTCTGGGAATATGGCTGCTGGTCAGCCACTGTTCCCAGCCACCTTGAAGCTCCCTGAGGGCAAAACAGGCCTCTTACACAAGCCTCCCCCACACCATAAACCAAAGGAACAAATCCATGAGGCTATAGCAGGAGGCTTTGCTGACCACTGGGAGACTTCTGTGGAAGGAGGAGGCAGGAACTGGGCTTTCACAGAACAATCAAAATAAGGACAGGGCAGGAAGCCCTGACAATTCCCAGAAGTAGGCTGTGGGACTTCCTGGGAGGCAGCTTGGAACACATGGGTGGAAATTCTGCAGGCTACTGTGATAAAAAGGCACTGCCAGGAGGACGGCTTTGAATTCCTTTCACTTCTCAGCCTACAGAAGAAGGAGTCTGAGGCCAATGTGTGGCTTGTCTCCACCTCTCATCGATGTACAGGGCACAGCAAGTAACGAAGGTAATTCAATCTGTGCAGCGGTGCCTGCCCAAAGGCTGGGGGAGGACTTTCACCCAAGCCAAGAGAAGGAAGACCAGAGAGGGACAGCTGAACTGGATTGCCACGGAATAGCAAATCCAACAAATCCTTGTCTTTCCTGGATGAGGACAGGGCAGATAATCCACTCCCGGAAAAAGACAGCCTGCCCTCTGTTTGCCTGAGGGTGGGGTGAGCGCACACTGAATCCCAAGACTCTTCCCTGGTCTTCTGGTGATGTAACAGCCTCTGGAATCATCAGATGAGAAAGACTGCAACATCCTCATTTTAAAATGATACCAAGACTGACCTCCCATATTTCCCTCTTTCCCCTCCAGAGAAAAGACAGTCAAAAAAGAAAGTAAATACACATACACAACCTCAATGACAATGAGAATGGAAGAAAGCCTCTGGTGAGCGGGAGTTATCAATTAACTTCTGGAAGCTGGAAAACTGATGGAGAGGGGAAGAACTAGAGAAACAAGAAAAAGAAAGCCACACTTAATGGCCACAAAGCCAGATCTTCCTATAGGACTCTGGGAGACCCTGTAGGGTAAACAGGAAGCCAAAATGCAAGAACGAGAAATTCCTCCCCACACAGTGGCTCTCTTCTTTCCCCACACCTCTGCATGCAGGGACTGGCCAGGAGACCCTGCCCTCCCTGAAGATTAGTCTGCTTCTGGAGAAACTCAGTGGTCTACATAAAATGATTTTGTGTAGTGGCTTTGGGGGTCCCTCAAGAGCTCCCCTGATCATCCTCAACAAAGCCAAATGGTTAACAAACATCAACCACCTACCCAGTGTTTAGTTCCCTATTCTATTTTTTTTTTAAGATGTGGGTTACAACTCAGGATTAGGTATACAAATGGTCATTGCACAGATAAAGTTTGGGCTTCCCTTTGGTCCCCACTTTGCCTGATTTGAGATCAGGTATCCTGAGTTCCCTGTTCTAAAATATGCACAGACAAAAAGGATCACTGGGTATTCAAAGGAAGCCCCCAAGATGAAAAGGGGAGACCAAAACAAATAACCAGAAACATGACTATGGAGGAAACAGAGAAAATGGGAAACAAAAGAAAGTTTCAAAAAGACTGTCAATTGCAGCCGCAGAAAAGCATGAAAGGTTATTCCACCCATTAAGAAAGAAGAGAATGTTATGGAAAAAGAACAACCATAGAATAAAAGAGAGTTCTTAGAAATTAAAAATATGAGTGCTCGCCGGGCTCGGTGGCTCAGCCTGTAATCCCGTGCCTTTGGGAGGCTGAGGTGAGTG